TCTGTCTATCCATCTGTATTCCCTCACTTGCCTCCCTCCATTCATCCTTCTGTCTATTCATCCGTATTTCTGTCTGTTCGCCCATTCATCAGTGTCTTTCCTTCTTTCATTACTTTCGTCCATCCACACATCCATCCATCCATCCATCCTTTCTTCTGTCTGCCTATCTATCCGTATTACCTTCACTCTATCCATCCATCCTTCTATCTGTCCATCTGTTTTATCTTATCTCCCTCCATCTATCCACCTACCTGTCTGTCTATCCATCCATCCATTAGTCTATCTATCTATCTATCTATCTATCTATCTATCTATCTATCTATCTATCTATCTATCTATCTATCTATCTATCTATCTATCTATCTATCTATCTATCTATCTATCTATCTATCTATCTATCTATCTATCTCTGTCTATTTCCTTACTAGCTTTTATCCATCCATTTTTGTCTGTCCATCTGTATCTTCTTTCTTCCCTCCCTCAATCTGTCTGTCTGTCTTTCCTTTCTTCCTCCATCCATCCATCCATCCATCCATCCATCCCTATGTGTCTGTCTGTCTGTCCTTATTTCCATCCATCCATCATTTCATCTGTCTCATTCCTTCCTTGCTTCCGTCCATCCATCCATCCATCCATCCATCCATCCATCCATCCATCCATCCATCCATCCATCCCTGTCAGTATGTGTTGTTTAGCTGTTTCAAACAGTGATTCTTTGCAAATAATTAGAATAATTAGTAAAGAAAGAGAGCTTTGTGTAAATGTGTGTACTCTTCCGATATTTCCCCAGCCTTTTCCACTGTGACCAAGTAATGGAGGATAGAAAAGTAAAATGACAGGCCTACTTATATAACTCAGTTTTTACACTGTTTTCTCCATGTCCAGTTTCATTCTCACATCTCACACACCTGAAGAGAGGCGGACGGTTTCCAGGCAACAGAACACTCCAACTCCCAATAAGGGTTGAGGACGAAGACCAATCCGGCAGTCAGAGAAACACAGATCTTTCCAACGCTTTATTGGATTTCCCTAGGATATATAGAGGGAAATATTGCCAGACAATGCAAGACTATCAAAATAGATAAGAAACAATGGTGCATGCAAAAATAAGTGCACAATGTTCATAAAAGCTAAACCTTTCAGCTCTTAACCCTTCAATCAGAGTGGATGAAAACAATAATGTTTATATATTCCCAAATGCCAACAGGATATTAGGAAAAATAAAAGCATATAGTAAAAATATATATTAAAAAAGCCAACAATATAAAGTAATACAAGGATTTAACCTAGTGAACCTACTATAAATAGAATTATTCACACATCACAAGTTGTCTAGTATAGCATTGAATCTAAACAGAAGTGAAATGCACAAGCTACATCCATTCACAACCATTGCTGCCAACATCCCATCATTTCACAGTCTTTCCTATATACAGTTCCAAGCGGTCAGCAGTTTCATCGGCTCCAAAAGACTTGTAGAGTCATCAGCGTTACCAGCCAAAAGTCTCATTAGGATCCACAGGACGGGTTCATTAACACGACGATTAATTAATACAATATTGCAAGATTGGGTTGTGATTGGGCTACATTGAGCTACAGATTACACAGTGTATATAAATTACCCAACAACACAGTTCAATACAAAGGTTTGCAGCGGACACAGTGTGTTTTCATAAAGGTCGTTATTTCCAGAAACACTTTCACCATGTGATGAACATCAGTCTGGCCTGTGGGGGCTTGCATATTGCTTTATCAAAAAGGGTGTGATTGGTGCAAATGAGTATTTTTCAATTGTCCAAACTTAATATTTCAGGATTATTAGCTACATTTCGTAAATGCATGATTGAATGTTCAAAACTGTTCATGTATATTGATGAAATGACAAAAAAAAATGATGAAAGAAGATTTGATTGTCATTTGATAAAGTAAAGACAATAATTATACTGCTCTGCATCTAAATGACATCCAATATAAGTTTCTCCCTAATTTTGGAGTTCTGATTACAGAATTATTGCAAAGTATGTGCATTTTGTAACAGTTTTGGTAACTATTTGAAAGATAAAAACACTATTATTGTGATCATAATCCCTTAATCATTCAGAAAACTGACACAAAAAAAATTCTCATTCTTAAATTGTAAAATATATGCCTAGTTCTTGTTTCATAGTTTAAATTATGGCCAGTGAGGATGGAAGAACAGAACAATTCTATGACTATAGAGTGTCTGAAGACAGCAGTGGCGCAGTAGGTAGTGCTGTCGCCTCACAGCAATAAGGTCGCTGGGTCGCTGGTTTGAGCCTCGGCTCAGTTGGCGTTTTTGTGTGGAGTTTGCATGTTCTCCCTGCGTTCGTGTGGGTTTCCTCCGGTTTCCCCCACAGTCCAAAGACATGTGGTACAGGTGAATTGGGTTGGTCTAAATTGACCATAGTGTATGAGTGTGTGTGTGAATGTGTGTGTGGATGTTTTCCTGAGATGGGTTGCGGCTGGAAGGGCATCCGCTGTGTAAAAACTTGCTGGATAAGTTGGCGGTTCATTCCGCTGTGGCGCCCCAGATTAATAAAGGGAGTAAGCCGGACAAGAAAATGAATGAATAAATTAAATTATAAATTAAATTAAAAATGTAAACTTAAATTTAATTTTCGGCTTAGTTAACTTATCCAGCACATGTTTTTCACAGCGGATGCCCTTCCAGCTGCAACCCATCACTGGGAAACATTCACACAATCTCATTCACACACATACACTACGGACAATTTTAGCTTACCGAATTCACCTGTACCACATGTCTTTGGACTTGTGGGGGAAACCAAAGCACCCGGAGGAAATCGGGGAGAACATGCAAACTCCACATAGAAATGCCAACTGACCCAGCTGAGGCTCGAACCAGCGACCTTCTTGCTGTAAGGCGACAGCACTACCTGCTGCGCCACCGCGTCGCCTAAACAAAATAAAATAAATTAAACTCTGTTGACCACCAACTCTTAATATAAGTTTCACGAAAAGTGCATTAAATCTATAATATATACATACACCAGCCACTTTGTTAGGTACACCTTACTAGTACTGGGTTGGACCCCCTTTTGACTTCAGAAACACCTTAATTCTTCATGGCATAAATACAACAAGTTACTGAGTTTCAATAGTCATGTCAAAGCAGTTAGTAAATCAGCATACTATCATCTCAAAACATTGCAAGAATTAGATGTTTCCAGTGAAGACTTGTTCATGCTTTTATCAGCAGCAGGGTGGATTACTGTAACGGCCTCCTCACTGGCCTTCCCAAAAAGTCAGTCAGACAGTTGCAGCTCATCCAGAACGCTGCGGCCAGGATTCTGACCAGAAGCAGAAAATCAGAGCTCACCACACCTGTCCTCAGGTCTTTGCACGGGCTCCCAGTTACATTCAGAATAGATTTTAAAGTATTATTACTTGTCTATAAATCACTAAATAGTCTAGGACCTCAATACATTACAGATATGCTTGCTCACTAAATACAAACCAAACAGATCACTCAGATCTTTAGGATCATATAAACTAGAAATTAAAAGAGTTCAGTCAAAGCAAAGTGAATCAGCTTTCAGCAACTAACAGCGCCCTTCACTGCTGGAATCAGCTTCCAGAAATGATCAGATGTGCTATAATATAAGGCGCATTCAAATCAAGACTGAAAACACATGTTTAGCTGTGCCTTCACTGAGTGAGCACTGTGCTACGTCCGACAGATCGTACTATTATGTATTTTTTTTTTTCTTCTTTTATAACCATCATTATAATCATTTTATTCATTAATTCATTGTCTTGTTGGCTTAGTCCCTTTATTAATCCGGGGTCGCCACAGTGGAATGAACCGCCAACTTATCCAGCAAGTTTTTACGCAGCGGATGCCCTTCCAGCCGCAACCCATTTCTAGGAAATAATCATTTTATTATTTGTTTTTATTTTCTTAAACTTGTCTTTTTTATTCTTGTTTATGTAACGCACTTTGAATAGCCACGGTGTATGAAATGTGCGATATAAATAAACTTGTCTTGCATTACGGAAATAGTCCTCAGAGATTTTGCTCCATATTGACATGATAGCATCACGTCAAGCAGCAGTTGCTGCAGATTTGTCGCCTGCACATCCATGATGTGAATCTCCCGTTCCACCACATCCCAAAGGTGTTCTTTTGGATTGAGATCTGGAGACTGTGGAGGCCATTTGAGCACATTGTCATGTTCAAGAAACCAGTCTGAGATGATTCGAGCTTTAACATGGTGTGTTATCCTGCTGGAAGTAGTTATTAGAAGAACTCGGTTTGAACTGCAGCAAATCGTCTTGACCATGTCTACATGCCTAAATGCATTGAGTTGCTGCCATGTGATTGGCTGATTAGAAATTAGCGTTAACGAGCAGTTGGACTTGAGTACCTAATAAAGTGGCTGGTGGGAGTATATACTGTATATTCTATTAATCTGAGTGTCACCAGTGTCATGATCAGTATAACATTCATTATTTATCATTGTTTATGATACATACACTTGTGCTGCTTAATATCTTTATGGAAGCTGTGATAGATTTAGTTTCTTTGAATCTTAAAATGGAAATCTTTTGCAGCATTTCTATAATAATGTTTTCACTCTGACTTTTGACCATCTAATTAATCATATTAGTCCTATCTAGTGTTTTTTAAAGAAGATGCAGGGCTGTATAATTAAAAGTATGATGAAACACACTTCAAATGTCTGAAGTCATACATCTAAAATGTATAAGTAAATAACAAACATATCTCTGGTCTTTACTCACAGTTGATCTTGGTGTAAATGAGGTTATGAAAACTGAACAAATGCTGCCGTTGTAGCAAACCAAGTGTGTCTCTGATATAAGGATGCGACCAGGACCTGAAGATGATCCACTCCATCACATGTCAAGCACTTGATGATCTTCAGAGCGACGGACACTCAATCTGTCTCTGTATCGATTTGGCTTGTTTTCTGCTTCTGGAGAAGGAAAAATACTTGTTTTTTTTTTGCTTGACCAGCAGTTGTCCTCAACAAGAGCCGGTCTTTACAGATCGTGAGTCATATTTGTTCATTTTTTCAGCTGTCGGAGCTCAGTGTAAGTGCCAAGGAGCAAACTCAGACTTCAGTGGAAGTATCCCGCTCCGTCTGTTTAATTATGGCATGTCGGTGCAGATTTACCAAGGGTTCTTTCAGAGAGCAAAGGCATCCCATAATCGATTGCTCTAAGTGGTGATTGCCGTCACAGCAGCAGTGGGCAAAACAAATGGGGCCGTGGTGTTCGGGTCAGTGGTCTGATGCGGAGCTGATTCTATGGCACGCTCACCTCACTCAGGACTTCACATTAACTGCAAATGCACAGATAAATCAGGTTATAAATAGGTAGAAAACACACACACACACAAACACACAAAATAGTAGACGAAATGCTCATCGTCGGAGGCCATATTGTGGATTAAAATCCAATTTCAGTTTTCAGTTTTATAATTCTTGAGTTGCATGAAACTAATGCACATATTTAAAGAGAATTCTTCTGGTTGCAGCTAAACAGGCTATTACACACAAATGGCTTCTGTTAACCTCTCTCACTTCAGATGAATGGAAAGACATTTTTATAGAAATATGCAAAATGGAAACCCTTACTTTCTCCTTAAAGCTCAAAAACAGATTAAAAACGGCTTTTATGCTAGCCGAAACAAAACAAATACAGAATCTCCAGAAGAAAAAATATTATCAGACAAACTGTGAAAATGTCCTTGCTCTGTTAAACATCATTTGGGAAATATTTTAAAAAGAAGAAAAAAAAATCTAAGGGGTTAATAATTTTGGCTTCAACTGTATATATATATATATATATATATATATATATATATATATATATATATATATATATATATATATATATGTATATATACATACATACAGTTGAAGTCAAAATTATTAGCTCCCCTAAATTATTAGCGCCCCTGCCTCCATATGAGCCCAAATCTATTTGCTATTTAAACAGCGTGGCACAAAACGTCATAACAACTTTTGCGCCGAGCTGCAACTAGCAAATAACAATTGCGTTGCGCCTTGTGCCATATTGCGCCGGGTGTATGATAGGGCCCATAAAGATTTTAAACCACCTGAGGGAGAGTTTATGACTTTTTGGGTTTCTAAACTATCCATTTAAACTAATTTAACACATGTTTGGTGAATACACCACTTCAGTGTGTATCATTAACCCATGAACATTTCCTGCTTGTTCTTAAACTATTTCATATCTGTAACAAGAGGCAATTCAATCATGGCTTAACATTAAATCAGCTATAATAATAATTTCTATCAATATGTGGACAATTCGGGATTCTCTGAAGCTATGGAAATTAAAAATGAAAAACAGCAAGTTGTTATTGTTAACATCCCTCAAGATGGTCTAAACATTTATTACAGTGTGGAGAAGTTTTGGAAATGAATTCATTTGTATGCAATTATTTACAAATCTAACAGAATTTCAGCACTCTTCAATTGTTTCTAATAGGATCATGACAAAAATCAATCCAATTCAACCAATGGCCAATGGATTAACTGTCGGCCTGTTCTATTTTTCCATTGAATGTCCTGTTTACTCTCACATACGTCACATAATGAAAGTAAATGGGTTGTGAGCTCTGGCGTTAAATGAAGAGATGGATTATTAGATTGGATTGTGTTGTTTAGCATCAGTGCCTGCCTTCTTTCACACATACTGGCATATACACATTATTCAAGCAATTACGTAACAGTATATTCAGTGTAAATGTCTCTAATCACCAACAGCTTTATACAACATTTTCCCAACATTAGAACAAAAAAGCTGAATATCCAATGGGGGAAAAGCAGAACTATTTAAACATCAAAAGAACAGCGGGAGGAAAATCTCAAGCTGCAAAGGATTCTCTGCTTCTTGACCTACTTAGAAAGTCCTATGTATAGATTTATGATTCAGAGTGACTGGCTATAATGTAAAAGTGTATGATACTGATGAAACAGATTTCTCAGTATGATTTTTTAAACTAATGATAATTAGGGCTGCATGACATTGAAAAATCTGACATTGCGATATTTTTATGTATTGCATTATGAATAAAATTTCAGCAGATGCTCTAAATAGCTCTATTTGGAAACAAGTCAATATTTGAAATTGATTGGGATGATTTTGTAAGGGAGTGAATCATGCATAAAATATAATAATCAAACTACAAGATGCAATAGAGCAAAGATAAAAATCAAATAAACAGTGCTTTATGGCTTTCTAGAGAGTCTAACAGCATTCAGGGACAGAAAATTAATAATAATAATAAATAATAGCATTGTGTAGTCTTTTATAATATAATTATTTAATACAATTTATCTTTATTAAAGACACAAACAGTACAATGTCTTGTACCTGAATGTCTTAAACGAATGGAAAACCCAATGCATAAAGTAAGCAAAAACTTTGATTTTATTCAAGGTTTATAATTAGAACCACTTTTTGGTAAACAATACTACAGCACATGTGGCTGGAAGGACATACGCCACATAGAACATATGCCAGAGTAACTGGTGGTTCATTCCGCTGTGGTGAACCTGAGAATCCACCAGAGACCACAATGTATGCTTTTTCAGATCTCATTCAGTCAGTAGCTCGAGTCAGTCAGAGGCCGCTGTCAACTGGCTGACTGATCCCCCCACTCACCTCCTTCCCTAAACCGACAGTGTTTTCAAAATCAATCCAGAAAAAGAAAAGCCCTCGCGGACGATTTTTACTTTGTTTTCAGATTTTACCACATTCTCGCCCTGTTATTTACTTCATTGCTTACTTTATTTTTGCCTTTTGTTTTGCTTGCTTTCTGGAATTATACTTCATCACTTCATCAGCAGCTCGAGTCAGTCAGAGGCCGCTGTCAACTGACTTACTGACTGACTGACTGACCGATCCCCCCACCCACCACCTTCCCTAAACCCAACCAACAGTGTCTTCAAAAGCAATCCAGAAAAAGAAAAGCAATCGCAGATGATTTTTACTTTGTTTTCAGATCTTACGACATTCTCACCCTGTTATTTACTTCATTGTTTATTTTTTTTCCTTTTGTTTTACTTGCTTTCTGGAACTATACTTCACTGGACTCGAACCTCATCGCCGTGGTCAACTCCTCTCTGCATCTCAAGTCCGCTGACATATGTAGCGAGCTACTGGGAAAACTGTGAACATCGAAAAAGCCGTCCACACGGAGGTAAGCGGTCAGCTGGTAGCGTAAAAAGAAACAGAAGCTGGTGGCAGCGTCATACCGCTCTGTTGCGTTCGTTTTAAAGACGAAATGCAGCCTGATGTTCCTCTGGCTACAGAATTTATGTTCTCTACAAATGTATATGGGGGTACATATTCACAATGAGCCTGTGATAAAAATATTACTTTACAAATTGCATTGAACATAATCTAAATATTTGCATACTATTAAATAATAATACAGAAATTAATACAAAAGCGTTTTTCTAATTCTAATCAAAGTGCAATCTAATAGTCTTCATCACACAATCAATACTTTAGGAACCTCAAGATGTGATTCTGATTGTTTTTCTGTGAGCGAGTAACATATACTCAATAACATCAGCCTAAAATCATTAAAAAAATCAATATTATTGAAGCTGATAAATATGGCACATCCCTATCAATTCCCCTGAGTTCTGGGTAGAGAGGTCATTGAAGAGGTCTTACTGGACAGATTGACGGCGCAGGCGATGATGATGACCGCTCCTCCCACCAGCGACACCACTGACAGCAGTTTAGCCACTCGACCCAAACGCCTCGCTCCGTCCACGTTCCCCTGCTCCAGACTGTTCCTCGACTAACACAACACAACAGAGACATCCAGCTTCCATTAAACCCAACCATCATACTCAACACTGTTTTTTTGAATGTTACTTCTAAGTATAATTTAGCAAAGGTGGTGAATTTTTTCCTTTTTGGTTAGTTTTAAAGCTGTCATGATGTTAAATAAAACTGGAATGGAGATATTGCCCCTTATCAAGTAACTTATGCAGAATGTAACAGATTTGTTTTGGTTTTATATAATATATTCGCAAAGAAACATCCAGGGTCTCTAGGACATTTCAGTGACAATACTAGAATGAAGATGAGAGTTTCACCTTTATTCTTTCATAAATTGTTTGGATACTTTTCCCATAGACTGATGTGGAATTGTAGGAGCCACTTATGACAGCATAAGATAGTAGAGAATGACCCAAAAGGCCCAGTTTCTACCTACCATGATGGAGTAAACAAATCCCACAATGTTGATGGGCCAGACGGGACAGAAGCAGGCGATGACGGCGAGGATGAGGTAGTCTTTGGGTTTGGAGCGATCCAGCGGTGGGTTGGTGGCGATGCTGGAGTGGCGAGAGATGGAGGGCCGTGGGGAGAAGGCTGTGTAGGCGATGGAGCTGGAGCGGCTGCCCATGCGAGTGCGGCCCACGTGTGGATGGTGTGTGTGGGGCAAAGAGTGATGCCGGCGAGGGGGAGACGACAGGATGGGTTTGGAGGAAAAGGCATCATTCGAGGAAGAGCAAATTTTATCAGCTGCCAAGAGAAAGAGAGCATGTAAGCAGAAATAAAATTGCACTTTTTTTTTTGCTAGATCTTATGATGAGAGGGGGGTGTTAATTGTATTAGTGAGTTGGCAACACTCTATATACATTTGACAGAATACCGCACATGCACTACTGCTCAAAAGCTAAAAGAAGTCTTGTTAACACTAGTTTTTTATAAATAACTTTATTTTATAATAATAATAATTCCTTACATTAATATATCGCTTTTCTAGACACTCAAAGTGCTTTACACAATGCAGAGGGATCTCCTCATCCACCACCAGTGTGCAGCATCCACCTGGATGACGTAATGGCAGCCTTATTGCGCCAGACCGCACAACACACCAGCTATGTGTAAGCCAATTATGATATCGGGAGGGTTAGGAGGCCATGATGGACAAAGAGAAGTGGGCAAATTTGGCCAGGATGCCAGGGTTAAACCCCTACTCTATTTCGAAGGACATCCTGGGATTTTCAACGACCACAGAGTCAGGACCTCGGATTAACATTTTATCTGAAAGACGGCGCTCACTGAGCAGTATAGAGTCCCCTTCACTATACTGGAGCGTTAGAACTCACACAGACCGCAGGTTGGGCACCCCCTGGTGGCCTCACTAAAACCACTTCTGGCAGCAACCTAGCTTTCCCATGTGGTCTCCCATCCAGGTACTGACCGGGCGCGGTGAATTGTTTCTTCGATGCAATGCAAATGCAAACAATAATCAGGGGTCACCACCAGTAATGAACCGCTAACTTATCCAGCATATGTTTCACGCAGTGAATGCCCTTCCAGCCGTAACCCAACATTGGGAAACACCCATACACTTATGCATTCACACACATACACTACGGCTGATTTAGTCCATTCAATTAACCTACATATGTCTTTTGACTGTGGGGGAAACCGGAGCACCCGGAAGAAACCCACGCCAACACGAGGAGAACATGCAAACTCCGCACAGAAATGTCAACCCTCCCAGCCGGGACTCAAATCAGTGACCTTCTTGCTGTGAGGCGATCATGCTACTGCGCCACCATCCATCGTTTGAACCACGTTAGTTAACGTAAAACGCCCATAATGATGCTCAAAACGGGGTGGAGAAACTACTTCTTTAGAGAAGAACACCATTATTTCTTTGTGCACATTATATTGTTTTACACGAACACGCATTAAAAAAGGCAATGGTTAAAACATGCACTCGCTTTCGCTGATGGAAATATGTAGGGCCTGAGCATCCTTTACAAACATTATTGTAAAACATAAAATCACTTACAAAAGCTAACATGTATTCTAATCTCATATATAAATCATATAAATAAATAAATAAATAATGAGGCTATTTATTAAGAAATGAAATGTAATATTTATTAGGAAATTTTAAAAATCATACTTTAATAATAATATAAATAATATTAAAGATGATGATGATGATTATTATTAAGTAGGATATAGTTTATTTATTTTATATTTTTTAAAGTCTACTCTTACAATTGGACACATGTAAACCACTACAGAAATGTTCTAACCAACAGGCCTGTGTCATATACAGTACAGATACTTAATCAATAACCTACTATAAATTAAAATAATTAACATATGCTGTGTTTTTTGTTTTCACAAGCTTTGGAGATGTAACATAAATTCTTCTTTTAAATAATAGGTCACCTATAGCTTTCATCATGAGCTATGGTGGTGTTCAAAATGACATCAATGTTTTCAAAGTGCACTGCGAAGGGAGCACAATTGTAAACATGAAGGTCGCTAAAAAAGTACTTCAAAAATACTTTGAAAGCAAATTTCACCTAAGAGAGACTTTAATGCTTTTATTTTTATAATTCCAAGATTAATGTAAGAATGTTCTAAATAAATAGGGCATAGGGGGGATCACTGGGAACAGAACACAGCCAGGAACTATATTTCTAGCTACAGCTCCAGAGGTGTAGTTGCAAGCATAAATGTTTGCGACGCAGTTTGCGAATGTTCGATGAAATGATGGATTTGGAAATGCTAAATCAATGAACTGTGTTTGTAACGATGGAACTTGCTACCTTAGTTGGCTAACCATGGTTTTCAGAAACGCACCCCTATTTAGAAGTTTACTTAAACACTAATTCGAATGACAATTTAAATAAAAAAAATCCTCAAAAGAAAATAAAGATCACAAATCCACTAACTATGACAAATATAGAAGCAAATAATAATCAAATCTATTAATGAAAACCAATCACTAAGAATAATTAATAATAATAGGCAGATTACAGTAGTCTATTAAAAAAATAACAACAAAAAACATGACACTAAAAACTAGAGCAATGATGTTGAAAATTCACTTTTGAATAACAGAAAAAAAATTACATTTTATATAAATACATTTTATTACATTTTACATACATTTTATATAAAATGTAATTACATTACATTTATTACATTTTATATACATTTTATATAAAATTACATTTTATATAAACTCTCTTACAGTATTATGATTTACAATGTATATATATATAATACATAATGTATATATATATAAAATCAAATCAATGCAATCTGGGTTTGACTCCTTTCAAAACCATTTCAAAATCTGCAGTAAATGATCTAAAATTGGCCAGTAATTTTCTATTATCTGCACATTTATCCCCGAGAGAGATCATCTTTTCTTTTTATCTGTCTGTCTGTAATCATTATTGTTTATCTCAGCATGTTCCCCCCCCCAAATGTGATGATGATAGAAAGCGAGGCTGGCGTGCTCTTCCAACCAACTTTAATTAAATAGCCACCAATGCAATTAATTCTCTAATCTCTGTCATGCCTTTCAGCCCTTCCTGCCAGGAAGCCCCTTTAGTGGTTTTAAATAGGATGCACAAATTTAATTTAATTAAGAGTGTTTACGGCACACTCAGCGTTCATAAGAGAAGAAGGGAAATCAAATATATGCCATCTTGCTCTTAACCTCAGATGAACTCACGATAAACAGCAGATGAGAGGTGCTGCGCTCTCAATCATTCATTCTGTGGCTAGTCCACAAAGAAACGCCATTTAGGAGAGACTGTGCAACATGTCTCCCTTATAGATCTGTACTGTTGTCTAAAATATGATCGAATATTTCTCTATGTGCTTTACAGAGGATGTGACTGTTTAACTTTGTGACTATTTAGTTATCAACGTTAAAGATTGCATCTTGTTTCCTTTCCTCTCTTTTTTAACCTTCGTCTATTCATTCATTTATTTATTTTAAAAATGCTGGGTTCCACACAATCCATTTGTGTTGGGGCAACATGAAGCAATTAAGTTAAAGGTGCTCTATAGGTTTTTGACTGTTCTAAAGCATACAAATACCAGAATATGTCTGCAGATATTTCAGAAACATGCTAAGTGAACATTCTTGTTTATCTGAAAAAGAATGCTAAAGTCAGATATTCTGCTTTGAAAATACGAGTTACGGCCGTTTTGGTCATTTAACCCGCCCAATGCAAGTTTAGCCACTTATATTTCAGCACCCCGTGTTGCCTTGGTAGAAAATAGTACATTTCATTCAGTCAGGAAAGCTCTCAAAGTGTGCGTCTGTGACTGAAATGTGATCTCCTATGGACAGTAGCAGACTCCAAAATGAGATACAGATTCAGAGTTCCACATGAGGTAGTTATTAATTAACAAGTAACATAAATATTACAAATATAAACATTAGGTGAGCAGGTTACATTGTGACCCCGTGTCCTAACAACACACTACGTGACAAGGTTTGCAGTGATAAGCAATTGGGGTGTTTGCACCAGACGAACCATGACGGAAATTTAAATACAGCCTTTCAGAAGCACAGAATAGTGCACTCACTGCACTCCAACAAAATTATAAGTTTTACAATGTAATTAATACATATTAAACCTCTTTAACGTTATCAAATGTAGATGCTGAATCACTGATATGTGTTGGCTTGCACAGTCACAGTTCTGAAGTTCAATTTCAAACAATTTATTTTATTTTCAAGTTCTGAGGTGACCTATCTGCTGCTGCTTTCGGTAGTATGGCAATAAATGTCATGTAAAATGGCATTCAAACTCACATTATTAGCCTTTAAGACTAAATAAAGCAGATGAGGCGTACCTGAGGTGATTAAATATCACTAAAATATAAATTTCAGGTGTTGGTTAGAACAGAAACTCCTTTTAATAAAGAAAATATTCCTTCTAACGCCGTGTCGTTGCTTTCATTTATAACATGACTTAAATCAGCCTTTGTTGGTGTTGACAATCTGGCAACCTGCACTTGCGTGTGTTTTGAACCAAGGGTGCAACACCTAGTTCAGCCACTGACTGTCCAATTTACATACTGCACCTTTAACTTATTCGTTTTTACATAATTAAGTAGATTGAATAAGGCATGGGCTGGTATAAGATTCTGACAGTATGATAACCTTAGATAAAAATATCACGGTTTCACGGTATCACAGTATCGTTGTTACTGCTCTAAAATATATTCTTTTTAAATGTCTGGGTAATAAACAAAAACTTTCCCCTTTTGAACAGACTATATTTTATTTTGAGAAGCATTTAAAATATTTTGGGACAATAAATGTGTCAGGTTAAATTAATTATTGACTTCTGCGGTCTTCATTTGTTTCAAAAACTGATTTAGTTTTTACAATTTAAAACGGCGCCTTTTCTGCTGGAAAAACTTTTCCAAACCACAGCATACCTTGAAAACGGTTATCGTCCCATGCCTAGATTGAACATAAAACAATTAAGCTATCACCGCCCCCCAAGCTCCCGCACCAAATAAAAAATACTATTTATTAATACTAAATACTGAAAGCTGAAAGCATCAAAAACAGTTTGTGAGTGTATTTATTAATATTATTTTCAATAATATTTTGACAATATATCTTCAAATGTCTATGTATTTACGTATTGGTTAAATGATTCGCTAATTTATTTTCTGTTATTGTTTATGATCTGTTTTTGTAGAACGTTTGGACTACAACTCGCAGCACAATATTTGTAACACTTGCCAGTGACTGTATTTTTGGAAGCCCATTGTACATTTATCCTGATCATTTTAAATAAACATGTCCAAAAAAAAAAGAGAAGAGACTGTGCATTATTCACCAGGATCAGAGTTGCTGTGCAGTAAACTATTCCTCCAACACTGAGGATGAAGTGCTTTCTAAATTAATCATTTTCACTTCTACTCTTTTTTATTTCTGCCTTGTAAAAGCTGTCTGCTTATTAAATACTAAATTCAGCATCATATTCTCAATATTTCGTGTGAAAACAATAAGGGTTTAGGCAAACGCCCCAGATATTTGAAATGTGGGCACAGAAGTTGCTCCTGAAGTGAATTGCTCTTTTTGATTGGTTACCTAACGTCTGATATTTTTATAATATTCTATTCTAGGAGTGTCTATTTATGGTCTTGGTCCCTCTGCAGAGACTGTAGTGACCTATAACTGTCTGATTACTGTATTTGCTGTGAGCATTTTTTGAATGTGCAGTTAATTAAGGGGTTTTCAATAAGGAGAAAAAATATTCAGTCAGCTAAAACTGAAATTGAGGGGGAAATCGGTGCTGGTTCAGTGTTTTTATTGTTGAACAAAACAAAACATCACTATGAGTGATTGATGCACAAAAAGAAAGCTCCGGCCCCTATACTCAATATTCAGATCCAGTTGGTTACATCAGCATACTAACAATAAAAGTCGCATCAACTTCTGTCACACAGACCTAAAATTTAAGTAATAGATAAATTATCCACATACATTAAAACAATAATGTTTTAATCAGTGCGTCCTTAATGGATACTTTTTAATGTTAACATGAATTTTTGTTTTGAGTTTTCACTGCAAATGTCACATCCATAACACTGGAATTGCTTGTAAGCATTAGACTACATATTATACTATGTATAATAAAATTAGAATTTGAAAGTACCGCTCTCTGCTTTGTCCTTGACCATCACGATGACCTCTCCCGAGCAGCGGACCTCCTCTTTGGGCTGCTGAGGGAAGGTGAGGGGTCGCAGGCAAGGGAAGGAGTCTGACGCTGCGGGCCCCGGCTGATAGGTGACAGGGCCAGGAATCTGGCAGCTTGTCGGCTCCTCATCCTGGGTGCAAACCAGAGAGCCCAGAGACGCCTGATGGTACTCTGTTTCCATTGAGACTGTTGAGGCTGCAGAGGCAGTGTGCTGATGTTCAGATGCTGTGGATGAAGAAAACAACATATGAGAGATGAGATTTATGTGCACATAAGATGAATCTCATTAACCTCGGCACAGAAACGCGTGATGAGATGCAAACTCACACTCCAGCACACACTGTCATCTGACTACAAATCACATCCAAGAGATTTTTTACACACAAAAAACACCTTTTCCTGCATGGTTAAAATATCGCTTTTATCGTCAAACGTCACCAAATAAATGTTATTTTCATGAAAGCATTTTTTTAAATCAAATGAAAAAAAAAGTATTAATAAATAATAAATCCAAATACCCACAAACAGTGTTTCCAAATTACCCCAAAAATTAGCAAATGCCTTTGTGGCTTAATTTTTGCACACACATTGATCTTGAGTCATTGACATATGTGTTTATTTAAATAATATAGATACTTTTCAAAAAAACAAAAACACTGCTTTGTCAAAGGGAGGCTTTCAAAATCCAAAAATATACTGAAAATGGCTTTAACTGAAAACAATAATATGTAATCTAATGTGTATTTATTTATTTTCTTTTCAGCTTAGTCCCTTTATTAATCTTGGGTCACCACAGCGGAATGAACTGCCAACTTATCAAGCACGTTTTTATGTGGAAGCCACAACCCATCCCTGGGAAACACACACTCATACACTACGGACAATTTAGCTAACCCAATTCACCTGTTCTGCATGTCTTTGGACTGTGGGGGAAACCGGAGCACCCTGAGGAAACCCACGCAAACGCATGGAGAGCATGCAAACTCCACACAGAAACGCCAACTGACCCAGCCGAGGCTCGAACCAGCGACCTTCTTGCTGTGAGGTGACAGCGCTACCTACTACGCCATCTAATGTGTATTTATAGAGCGAATTTTTTCAATCATGTATGGACATACACCCAAAGCGCTTCACAATTATGAGGGTGGTGTAGCGGTCAACATAAAGGGTTTTAATTACCTTTAAATGTTTTGTTGTTTTTGTGGACAGATATTTTGATTACATATTATTTCATTTATTCATTTTCTTTTCGGCTTGGTCCCTTTATTAATCCGGGGTCACCACAGTGGAATGAACCACCAACTTCTCCAGCACGTTTTTTACGCAGCGTATGCCCTTCCAGCCGCAACCCATCTCTGAGAATCATCCACACACACACAGACACTCATACACAACGGGCAATTTAGCCTTCCCAATTCACCTATACCGCATATCTTTAGACTGTGGAGATAACCGGAGCACCCGGAGGAAACCCACAGGAACGCAGGGAGAACATGCAAACTCCACGTAGAATTGCCAACTGAGCCAAGGCTCGAACCAGCAACCTTCATGCTGTGAGGCGACAGCACTACCTACTACGCCACTGCTTTGCCAACAGTAAACATGTCAGGCTAAATAATATAAAATAAATCACGGACTTTTGCTGTTTTCATTTGTTTCAGAAACAGATTTCTTTTCAATTTAAAATGGCGTCTTTGGATATCTTTCCTGCGGGAGATAGGCTAATGTGGTCCTAAACAACTTAAAACAACATGTAAACAAAAAATCTCACACATACTTTAGGAACGGCAGAGCAGAAAATTTGAGCAGCTTTTAAACCTTGACTATTCCAAACCGCGGTATACCTTGAAAACGGTTATCGTCCCATGTCTAACACTACGCAGGCTACGTTTCTGCTTCTGCACCTACGAAATTAATCATGTAGAGTAATTAAAAATATCAACCTCGGTGATTCCTTCATTAAAATGCAAGCCTGTTTATCTCATTTTAACCTTTTAACCTAGATATGTAGGTCATGAAACTGACCTCAATTGCAGGCGTGGATGTTATAACGTTTTAACAGCAGGAGAATTAATCCACATTCTGTCAAGAACACCTCATTTAATCAACTTTAAGAGCAATAATGAGGCTAAAAGTGATAATAACACGTGAAAACGCTTGATAAATGTGAATAATGTTTGTAAACATGAGGTGAAAGTCAAAATTATCATTGAATGCTCTCATGAATACTGGAGGGCAAAGACAAAGCCTTAGGGAAAATAGGAGACATATGGAGAGAGTGAGCGAGAGGGAGAAAAGGGAAACGGAGTGTGAATAAAACCCAATACAATTTAGTCTTCATATATACGCTTTAACTATGAACATAATCATAACCAAGGAACAATGTAAACCTGTCCTTTGTCCACCTCCATCCAACAACACAGGTAATTCACCTATCCAGGTTGGGAATCCCTTTGTCTGCTAATTAAACAAACGCCAGCGTTCCCCACAGACACTGAATATCATCCAAACGTTCATTAAAGCACAACACATACATGAAATATATAAACAAACACGTACCTCAGACCGCGCGGTTCATCCAGAGCGCGATTGGAGACGCACGTACGCGATTAGTCCATTTGCATAAACGGTCGCGTGCACGGTTTTAATGGAAACTTGATAATCTAGCTTTGCATTTAAACGTCGTTCAGTACATTAATAGCAAAATAAGCTGCTGTTGTCAATACAGTGCGCTGGTTGTATCGGTGTGGATGCAGGGCTCATCACTGGCCGCAGGCTCTCAGTCACTGGACGGGAGGAGGAGACGAGGAGGCTGAAATGAGGAACTACATCAAGCGCGCGCACGGGAAAACACTAGGCGAAAAACAACCGTGGATGAATGACACCCTGGTTGTGAAGGATGATTATAGCCTTTAGTCCATAATTATGGGGTGGCCACGTTAATAGCTACAGGCTACAATTAACTTGCATTTCCACAAAATAAGTAGGCTGCGCAGTTCATTAGTATTATGTAGTTATTTACCAAAATACCATGTTTTTTTTTATAGTAACATTGAAGTACCCATGTTTTTTTTTTTTTTTTTTTTTGATGCATTGACTTCCATTAGCACAATTATGGAGACAATTCAGGACCTCATATAGTTGCAACATTAAATAAAGTTTTGCAAATGAAAAATAAAAGTATTGAGCAAAAAAAAAAAAAGTAAAAAAAGTAAAAATTGTGCAAATCTAAAAAAAAAATCATAAAAGGAAAATTAAGTTTGGAGAAATATTAAAAGACATTCTACAAGCAAATATCAAGCAAATCATATATATTTACACTATACTTTTCTCCAGCATGCCAGTTTTACAACATACTCTGGCTGGTGTCACACAACCATGATTCATTTGGGCTTATGGTAGTCAACCATGCAAACCACACTTAACTATAATTTCGCAAATCTAACCATTTTTACCGTTAATTTTACCATGTTAATTGTAGTAAAAACGTGAAAACATATATGTTAATGTGCCAATTAACTTTTCAGGTGAATCCGAACACAGATATTCACAGATGTTTGCTTGAAGCTTCTGGAATGGTGCAACAGGAATCTTCAGATCAGGCCACTTTCTCCTTTAATCCAACCTTAGGAGAGGGGTCTGGATACAGACCTGGTGCCAGGGGCGGACTGGGACTAAAAATCAGCCCTGGCACTGTAGCCACACCAGCCCACATTACCACACCGACACAGCCCCATGCAGGAACACGCATATTCACTACTTATATTGGTATACAGATGGTGAAATAATATAAGCAGTACCATAAGTGATAGATATTTAAACATTTAATGCATGTGACTGAAACAAAAATAACTTATTTATAACAAATTTATCTATGCAATCATTTCATTCATTCATTATCTTTTCGGCTTTGTCCCTTTTTTTATCAGGGATCGCCACAGCGGAAAAACCGCCAACTTACCCAGCATATGTTTTACGCAGCAGATGCCCTCCAAGTTGCAACTCACTTTGAAACCCCTATACACACACATTCACATACATGCACTACAGACAATTAGGCCTACCCAATTCACCTAGAGCACATGTGAGGGAAACCAGGAGGAAATCCACATGAACATGCAAACTCCAAACAGAAACATCAACTCACCCAGCCGAGGATCGAAATAGCGACCTTCTTGCGCCCCTGCACTGCCCCCTTTAGAGACTATTTCGTTTGATTTTAGAGACTTTTTTTTGCTTTCTGTGAGCTTTTCGGCACCGCCTTTCCTTTTTTATGGTCCATCTCTGACAATTAGCTTGTGTTGCATTTACCTTTTGTTTGACATTCTTGCCAGATTTTGATTACGTCCGCATAACCTCTAATTGGGTCGGCCCCTCTCGAAACCAGTCGGTCATTGCCGATTGGGCCAATGCTTAACATTTATTATTATTATTACTACTATAATCATCATCATCATCATCATCATAATACTCACATCTAACAAGAGATAAAAGCTGCCTGCATGTAAAAACAATACATATAAAAAAATTAATTAAAAAAAATAGCTTACCAGCCCACATTTAAAAAATGGTCCGGCCCTTCTGGCATTTGCCAGAATTGCCAGATGGCCAGTCCGCCCCTGCCTGGTGCAGTGCAATCTGAGCTGCATCAAATGCTTTTTAATGGGCTCACCAAACCCACCCCTAACTCTTACCGTGACGTCACTCGCTCCATTTGAGTGCACTGTGTCTGACATTGCATTGCAGAGTAATGCAATCTCAGCCTGCATCATAAAGGCTGCATCCAGATACTATTGAATCTTTAAGTGAGCTTGAGTCCATTTAAAGCATTACTAGTAACAGTGTAGTTACCATGGGCACTAGAATGGGCTACAATGGTGCTTAACTCTTTAACAAGCCCACCAATAAAAAAAAAGTTTGGATTGCATTTCTTAGTGCCTTATGTCGCTAGTTAACACAATCAATGCATTTTTCTTTAACGCATCATACAATATTAACCTCTACCAAATTATTAATGTGTCAATTTATAGTAAAAGTACCAAACTTAATAAATCTACTATGAAAAAAATGATAACGTGAAGCATACAAACAATTTTTTTTTAAATAAATTCAAATTAAAACATTTTTGAATACTAAATCACCTTTTTAAGTATGCCTTAAAACAGGGGTCATCAAGCATGTTCCTGGTGGGCCGGTGTCCTGCAGATTTTAGCTCCAACCCTAATCAAACACACCTGAACAAGCTAATCAAGCTCTTACTTGAAACATCCAGGCAGGTGTGTTAAGGCAAGTTGGAGCTAAACCCTGCAGGGACACCGGCCCTCCATGTCACAACTGTTGCAGTGCCCTCTATTGGACACTTGAGGGCACTAGCTTGTTTTGTAGTTAAACTTCTTTCCTATAATCCTTTGCACTTCTGATTGTATTACGTTACAGCTGTTTCTTGTTTGTTAGTTTAGCCCTGTCTTTATAAACCCTTTTGTCTTATGTTTTAGTTGCCTTAGGATTTTGTTTGTCTCTTGTGTCTGGTATGTTTGTTTGGTTGTCTAGTTTTGTATTGGCTTATTCTTGTATTATTGTTTGCGTTTGTTTTTGTTAGCACTCATAGCTAGTTTAGTATTTGTTGATTCTAAGTCACGAGATGGAGATTCACAAAACACAAAAATTCCATGTGCAGCAATTTATTTAGACAGAAACAAAGGTTTCCTAATCTTGCACAGGAACTCCAAGAAAGACGTAAAATCTAGAAATGAGTCCAGACGAAAGGACTGACAAAAATTCCAAAAAAAAGCAAATACAAAATCAGGGCAGGAATGCGAACATAAAACAATCAAGAATCCAAAAATCAACAAATACTAAACTGGGTATAAGTGCTAACAAAAACAAACAATAATACAAGAATAAGCCAATATAAAACTAGACAACCAAACAAACATACCAGACACAAGAAACAAACAAAATTCTAAGGCAACTAAAACACAAGACAAAAGGGTTTACAAAGACAGGGCTAAACTAACAAACAAGAAACAGCTGTAACATAATACAGTCAGAAGTGCAAAGGATTATAGGAAATGAAGTTAAACTTTAAAACAAGCTAGTGCCCTCAAGTGTCCAAAAGAGGGCACTGCAACAGTTGTGACACTCCAGGACCGAGATTGGTGACCCTTGCCTTAAAATATTTCAGATTTTCATTTAACATGCTTTTTTCAAAAGCATAGTGGTTAAGTGCGCTGACAAATAGCACCAAGGTGCTTACGGCGACCAGAGTTCGATTCTCGGCTCGAGGTCCTATCCGCTTGTTAAGTGGTGACGTGTTTGTGACGTATGTAATACTGTTTCTGGGTCTAAGCCGCAACTCATTTGAGTGGAGAAATCATTCGTTTATGATCACGATTTATTCCTTTCACACATTAATGTTAATTTTATATAAAGTCATAGTGTACACAACAATCTCTGGGCTTGCTGCATAACAAATACCAAAAATTTTACAATTTATAAAAAATTAATCACTTTCTGGCCATTGGATATTAGGCATGTACATATATACTGCCATCGTGATTTTAGAAAGCATTAAATCGCTTTGTAAATGTTTATTATTACCATTTCATGAGTCTCCCCATTCAGTTGAACCCGGAAGCCGCTTCGCGTGATGTCACACTTAACAAGCGAATACCGATCCCTATCCTCTTTCTGCTCCTAATGCTTTCCTGTCTGTCCTTCACTGTCCTATCATATTAAAGGTGAAAACCCCTAAAAAATCTATCAAAATCAAGTGCACCAGGATGTTTGTTTATTTTTTGTAAACCAACAATGCTGTGTGTGTAAACCACTATTTAAAACAGTCATCATTTAAAACAGTAAAAACAAGGTCAACCATTTGGTAAAAGGTTAGTCAAAGGGTTAAGGCTGGCTTATACTTCTGTGTCGAGTGATCGGCGTGACCCACAGCACCTGCCTTGCATTTATACGTCTGCATGCTGTTTGTGTTGCTCTGTAATAACTCTTCTGAAACGCTAGCTGGCAGTAGGTTATGATGTTCCTCTGTGTCGAGTTTCTTTGCTGGTGTTTTATTTTTCCCGAATGTACATTTTAATGCTAAAACTCGCTCATTTAGAGGCGGGAACCAGCAAACGTACACCAACATTAATCATAAGGTAAACACAAAACAAAAGTTTCCATCTAGAGCTACTTCGCAGGACTTCACACTTGTAAACACTCATCTATCGGGCTTGTGGCTCTCACCCCAGCCCACACTCATCAGCGCGACCAAGCAGAGCGATCAGAGAGCTTAAGCTACGCATCGTTGCGACAAGTAGTTTTTGGGAGGTGCGCATCTTTGACAGTCACAGCCAGGGCACCATACACATGCGGTTCATACGCATGTGCTTGACACAGAAACATAATTCAGTCTTTACACAGAAGTGTGTAATAAACTGCGCTGTAACACATTGCCCTGGACACCCCTGTTTCACCTGCTGGTGATTTGTTGCACTGTGAACAGTGTGTGATATTTCTGCTGCACCAGTTTGACATCAGTGAGCTGTGGAAGATGGTTCATCATTTGGTACCATGCTATCATAACTTGTTTATCAAACGCTTGATAAATTGGCAGCTTTTCTAACCCACAAACATCCATCCATCCGTTCCTGTAAGATGAATAAGTTTTAATTAATTTGCTGTTAATTATTCTGTATCAACTCAATATTAACACTGCAGAAACTGCCATATAATATACAAAGTGCAAAAATGTAAAACAGTTATAGTATTTGATATTCATTCATTCATTTTCTTGTCGGCTTAGTCCCTTTATTAATCCGGGGTCGCCACAGCGGAATGAATCACCAACTCATCCAGCAAGTTTTTACGCAGCGGATGCCCTTCCAGCCGCAACCCATCTCTGGGAAACATCCACACACACTGTCATACACTATGGACAATTTAGCCTACCCAATTCACCTGTACCGCATGTCTTTGGACTGTGGGGGAAACCGGAGCACCCGAAGGAAACCCACGCGAAGGAGTCGAGGTTGGAACCAGCGACCTTCTTGCTGTGAGGCTACAGCACTACTGCGCCACTGCCTCGCCTAGTATTTGATATTATGTAAATGTTTTCATTACAATTTCATCTAATAATAAAGTGATGTTTTGCATGATGGGGTGACACGGGGGCTCAGTGGGTAGCACCAGGAGCAGATTTAAACAATAAGCAAGATAAGCATCTGCTTAGGGCCCCAGGAATATCTGAGGGCCCCCAAATGAATACCTAAAGGTATAAATTATACCTATAAATTACTTATATAACATCATTTTCTATAATATTTTGTGTGATGAGGGTCTTATAAAACACTTAATAATTACATCTGTGCAAATGTGTCCCCAAGTCTCAATCACAGAGCAGTCCAGCAGTCAAATCAGGTAAAGATTGCGTTTTAAAACTGAAAGTTTGTCATTTGTAGTTGTGAATTAATTAAAGTTATATAAAACGTTTTATAAAATAAAAAGTTCTACAAGATGCTGTTATTATTTTTTTGCATTAAAACAAAATATAGAAAAGTAGATTGAGTGAGATAATAAAAAACTGAAAAGTACAGAAGGTGCATTTTAGGGCCCAGGGTTTAAATTTCTTAGGGCCCCCGAATCACTTAATCTACCCCTGGGTAGCACTATTGCCTTACAACACAAAGGTCGCTGATTCAAGTCCAATCTGGGTCAGTTGGCATTTCTGTGTGGAGTTTGCATGTTCTCCCTGTGTTGGCATGGGTTTCCCCTACAGTCCAAAGACATATATAGATGAATTGAATAAATAAAATTGGCTGTAGTGTGTGTGTGTGTGTGAATGAGTGTGTATGGGTGCTTCACAGTACTGGGTTGCAGCTGGAAGGGCATCCGTTGCGTAAAACATATGCTGGATAAGTTGTTGGTTCATTCCACTGTGGCGACCCTTGATGAATAAAGGGACTAAGCTGAAAAGGAAATGAATGGGTCACACTTTACAATAAGGTTCATTAGTTAATGCATTTACTAACATGAACAAACAATGAACAATACATTTACTACAGTATTTGTTCATGTTAGTTTACGTTTGTAAATGAAAATACAGTGGATCGTTGTAAATTCATGTTAACTCATGGTGCATTAACTAATATTAACAAGCATGGACTTAGATGTTAATAATGCATTAGTAAATGTTCAATTATGATTAATAAATGCTGTACATGTGTTGTTCATGATTAGTTCATGTTAGTAAATGCATGAATTACTGAACCTTATTGTAAAGTGTTACAATGAATGTAATAATGTTTCACATAATCATTCTACTGAACTAGCACCATACTTTTACTGCCAATTTTACTAATAGTTATTGATCTGGGTATGCACACATTACTGATGCAAATGCGTACAATGCAGTTTTATTATTTTCTAAATTAATTCCATTAACCCATAATTAACCCTATTTATTTAGTCAGTCCTCTTCTCTGCTAGGTTAGCTCTTTTTGTTTATTTTTCTAAAAGGGTTTTATATTTTATCGTGATGAACTCTGAAAAGCAGAAAGTGACTGGGTGCACTGGTCTTATTTATGAGCTGCAGTTCTGTGATTGGTCGCTCTGGTTTGCCGCATGCATGTCAGGCCGGTTAAAGGACTGCGCGTGCGAGTAATAAATAAGCAGTGTTGACTGCCGGCCGTCAGCTGCTGCTGTGCAGACATATCCACTCAACTACACTGCATTCCCATCCGCTTTCACTTCAGAACGCAAACGCTCAATGACAAGCCAAGGAGATGCAAGTCTGCAGAGGACAAGGTCATACAGAGCATGGCTAAAATGCAGCAATATTAATATGAAACCAATGGCTTCTGCTACTGAAAGACACTTTTGGCCAAACCAAATTGAAAATCAATAGCGGCCAAAATTAAGATGAACATAATGAAACTGCCAGAGCACAACACTGCTCACTTATATTCAAGGTCCATCAACTGGGAGGAATATAACTCTTTACTTAAAGATTTTATTTGCTCACCCTCAACTTTTTCCAAACCAATATGAAAATCTTTCTTCTGCGGAAAACAAAAGAGGACAAAAGAGTAGCAGTTACCCATTGACTTTCCGATTTAACATATAAATGGCTGTCTGGTCAGACATTCTTCAAAATATTTTTGTGAATATTATATATATATATTTATTCACTCTTAGCTAATGATTGATAATAGTGTATTGGGCATGCTGTCCCAAGAGAGAGCCCTGAGCTCAGAATATCATCGAGCCCGGGGCTCCCTCCCGTTTGAGAGGGAGAGGGGAGTTTGAGCTCAGGTAGGTCTCGAGAATGCTCAGATATTTTTGGCTAACTGTGAGTTTACACCGAAGCTGGTGACTGAGAGCGTCAAAGGTCACTACATTGATCTCATATTTGAAGGGGCCATTGCAGTATATCATATTAGTTACTTTCCCGCATCAAACATGCTTTCTAGCGTGAAAATGTTGCACTAAATTATTATCAAATTCATTTAACCACGGAAGATCAAGTTGCTCATTACATTTTTGGATCACTCTATTTTGATGGTCCCTTTAACACATTTTGTTGAATTTAAGCTACACTGCCTTTACATGCCAACTAATCCACATCAGATTATAAGTAGACTGCTTTTTATAGTCAGTTAAATGTTGAAGGAGCATATCAGCAGATATCAAGCAGACAGTTTAGTAATACTCAAATGACTATTAATTGGCATGTAGTTGCAATGCTACTGTTAGTCAACAAAATGTGCAATAGGGGCCATCAAAATAAAGATTAACCAACATTTTTACTGATCTTAATGTTTGGGATCGGGAAAGGTCTCAGGCCACGAGGCACACCAACAGTATAGAAATTTGGGTGTCTCCCATATCTAAGGCATTAATTTGAGGCTTTGGAGTCTCTTCAAATCGTTACCTTAAAATTATAAGGTTCTATCTGTGTTCTGAATGATTTCGAGATATTGAGCTTCAAAGTTTTTGCATTCCATAGCAAACAGTGTGTGTGTAACATTTGTTTTTTAAATAAAAACTGTAAAAATGTAAATAACTTATATAAAAAAATCCCATAATGTAAATAAGTTGTCAATTAATAGGAAAATGTCAATATCTCAATTTTAACAGAAATGTCAGATAGAACCTAAGAATTCTAAGGTGACGAAATGTTCTGATGGGTTAATTCAGGTGTGTTTAAATAAGAGGGTGAAAATGTGTACTGTTGGTGTGTCTTCAGGAACAGGGTTGGGAAACACGGATAGTTTAATCAAATCAAAAAATGAATTTAAGAATTCTTCAACATCAACATTACTGAACTGATTCATCAATCTTATAAATGGAAGAAAAAAACTTGTTTGAGAGAAGAAATCAAATATCTGAAGCCTGAGTGATGTAACAAACAGATAAATTACTACAACGTTTTAAACGTTTAACGATTTTTGTTGTAGTTTTCTCTTGAATATTTCAAAATATTTAACATTTTTTCCAAATGGCTCATTACACTTGCAAAAACACCACAAATCGAAACACAAAAATGTCAAGAGCTCTCCAAAAAGCAACTGATTCTGGGGACTGATCATTTTTGGCTTAATTTGAATGGGAATGACATCTGTCGGATGTGAACACTTGAACAGTGAACAGTTTGCATCTTGAGGACAGCATGCAGTTCTCAGAAGTGCAGATGTGGAAAAGGAGATTTCTGAGAATGATCAGGATTCATACACATTTTTTACTACTAAAATTCCACTTTTCCATGATTTTTTCTATGACTTTCAAGTAAATTGTCATGACCTAATGTTTCATGCAATGTCTACATAAGCATGGTAAAAGAAAAACAATACATGTTAATATTACAGCATATTATATAAAACACACAACAATCTATTTAGTTTACATTTATTTATTCATTTTCTTTCTTTTCGGCTTAGACCCTTTATTAATCCGGTGTCCCCACAGCAGAATAAATCGGCAACTTATCCAGCATGTTTTACGCAGCAGATGCCCTTCCAGCTGCAACCCATCACTGGGAAACATCCATTCACACTCATACACTATGGACAATTCTAGCTTACACAATTCACATATAATGCATGTGTTTGGACTGTGGGGGAAACCCCGTCCCACACCAACAGACCCAGACGAGGCTTGAACCAGCGACCTTCCTGCTGTAATGCAATTGTGCTACCCACTGCACCATGTGACGCTTATTTTATATTTATATCTATGTAAAATGTATTTAGATCAAGATGTCCAAACTTGGTCCTGGAGGGCCGGCGTCCTGCAGATTTTAGCTCCAACTTGTCTCAACACACCTGCAAGGATGTTTCTAGAAAGCCTAGTAAGAGCTTGATTAGCTAGCCCAGGTGTGTCTGGATGTGGTTGGAACTAAACTTTGCAGGACACCAGCCCTCCAGGACCGAGTTTGAACATGTCTGATTTAGATAATGATTACGTCGCACTAATAATGTGAGAGCATGTGATTGGCCAAGGACAGAAAAAAGTAAAGACAATTAACCCATATTCAAGTGCACAGATATCCGTTTTCCATGACTTTTCTAAAACTTTGTGGGTATTTCTGTTTTTCCCAAACTTTTCCAGGCCTGGAAAATGGCATCAAAATTCCATGCCTTTTCCAGATTTTCCATGACCGTATGAACCCTGAATGATACACTGACTCAAGTCCTTTGAGATAAATTTAGGCATCCTATCCATTTATCTGGTGAAATAAAACCCAGTGAGCTTTGTATATGTGATGATGGCATTTATTTAGTGCCTTTATGAAATGAAACAGGTTCATTTACAGATTAAAAAGTTAAATAAAAGAAAAAATTGGCCTAGGTATGCAGGAAATTCACTGAAAAATGAAAACAAGAAAAACAGCAGTCAAGTATACACAAAGAAAAAAAAAAGTTTAAAAACTGTACACATTATATCCATAAAACACATGTAAAAACAAGTATGCAGGCTCTCCTCTTCAGTCACAGCAGCTCAAATTGCTTCACTTTCCCATACTGCTGAGAATATTGGCCTATGAGAGAGAGAGAGAGAGAGAGAGAGAGAGAGAGAGAGAGAGAGAGAGAAATAATAAAAACAAAAGACAGTGTGACCCAAAGGCGCTCTTCTAAATCACATTCAATTGTACTTTCATTATTTATTCCACATATTTTTGTTAAGGCACCAAAAAGACTTTAATGAGTGTGTTTATATGCACATTCTTAAACTGATTGTTTAAGCTGATGTGTAGTCAACTAAACACATTACCCAGATTTCTTTTACCAGTCAAGTTCAAAAAGAGCTCAGAAATACAATCAGAGCGGGCTTTGCTTAATACACAGATTTTACAGTACTTGTAAATTCCTTAATCCGTGTTTTTATTAATAATTATTGTATCATATACATTGTTTTTTTTATTATTTTGTTCATGTAATCTCAATCAGTGATGCAAACAACATACCTTTATGAAAGAAGAGAATCGTTTAACTGTAACACCTTCGATTTTCTTCAGGTCTTCCACCTACAAAAACAAAACATATTTCAGTATTTAAAGTTTCTTGAATATCCTTGTAGCGTATTTGTGATATCTATTGAGTACAATAACATGCAACTGTTTAAGTGTGAGCTGACAATGTCACTTACTTTACTTTTTGATGTTTTTTTGTTATTTATTTATTAACATTTTACTCAAAACAACAATTTCAAAAAGATTTGAAAAACAGAAACAAATTCCTCGCTCACTGCACGGCCATTTCTATACAATATTACATACATTTTTTATCTGTTTTACATCCTATTATTCAAACGTGTGTGTGTGTGTGTGTGTGTGTGTGTGTGTGTGTGTATATATATATATATATATATATATCTTCCCACACATAGACTTTATTTGGGTGGGCAGCTGAGATATATTAACGGCTGCACTAATGACAGATTTTTTTTTATTATTATTATCCTTTTACACTTTTTTTGTATAAAAAATTATATAATAGAAATAATTGCCAAAACTTTGTAAGTTGGCCAAAACACGTGGGAGATTCAGTAACATCACACCAGCAAAAGTTTATCATTTTCCCAAACATCAGCAAGCAAGAGTGACTGCTCTTGTACAACAGTTAATATGGAGTTTGTTACATTTTATCCCCTGTAAACTCCTGCATAGCTCATCACCATACCTGTGTGAAGTCTCCATTAATCTCTCTCCATCCCATGATGAGTTTGGCCTTCTTGTCTCCGATCTGCTGCAGGCTCTTGAGCTCCTTCAGAGAGCCCGAGTTGAGCGTCTGCAGGATCTTCTTCCTGGACTGTTCCAGTAATGCTGGATCCAGACGGGACTCCCAGTTGACATCTTCAACAGGATGAAGATCCACACCTATGTTTTCCTTTCCATCACACACCTAATAAGCAGACAAAAAAAAAAAACTTAATCCAGTTTCAAGTTATACATCTCAGTTACAGCACAGCTGAAAACATACCACTGCTTTTTGAAAAATCCACAATGATATGAGAGAAAATTAGTTAAAACAGACTACAATCTCAAATTAATTTACATTTTCTTTATTTTGCACAGAATTAATTTATCGGCATATTTAAGGAATGGCTTTTTAAAAATATATGACCATACCATATAAACATACTACAATAATTCAAGAAAACCTGCAATATTTTCATTCCTCTTTGGAAGGGTTTTTGATCCTAAACATTTTAAATATCTCTAAAATGCATAGTTGAGTGTTTCACCTTAAGCTTTTTGGACTGATTACATTTATATTTGTTTCATAAACACGGTTCTCTTAATTTGAGTAGTAGAATTTGACCAACCAGATAATAAACAACAAGAAAACAGACTTCAAGTTGTATGAATAAACATTGGATCTCATTTACGAAACATGCATACGCACAAATTTGATATAAACATGTATAAAATTAACCAATATTTAATTAGATGTTATTTACAAGGTGAAACGCATCTAGAAAAAAAATAAAAAAATTAAACACAACAACGTCAAGGTCAACTTTATTTATTTAGCACCTTAAAACAACATGAATGTTGACCAAAATGCTTCACAAACATGGCAACAATAATAAACAATTCAAGAGACAGGACAATATAATTACAATAAAAAATTAGACCTAAAAATAAAATGTAAAAAAAAATGTGTATAGTTAATGACTTAAATAAAAAAACAAATAAAATCTAATTTCTATCAATAGGCCAGAGAGAAGAGGTAGGTTTTGACCGATTCTTTTAAAAACACAATGTAGATGAAGCTCTAATTTCTAGATGCAACGTGTTCCAAAGTTTTGGAGCATAGAGTAAAAAAGCTTTTTGTTATCAAGCGGCATCTAGAAACAATTAGCAGAAGCTGAGCAGAAGACCTAAGGCAGGGGTGTCCAAACTTGGTCTTGAAGGGCCGGCGTCCTGCAGATTTTATCTCTAACTTGCTTCAACACACCTGCATGGATGTTTCTAGAATTCCTAGTAAGAGCTTGATTAGCTAGCCCAGGTGTGTCTGATTGGGGTCGGAACTAAACTTTGCAGGACACCAGCCCTCCAGGACCGAGTCTGGACATCCCTGAGCTAAGGGATCTTTGGGGAGAATACAAACTTAAAAGTTCATATATAGGCCGGGGTAAGTCCATGTACAGCTTTAAATACACATATAAAATTAGAGGGCCAAATCAATTTTTTAAAGGATGATTGTGTGTTTGGAAGCATGAAAAACTGTGACTCTGTCTTTAGATTGTGGACAGAAATGCTTCCTGATGAAAGGCTTTTAAAGGACATGATCACAACTAATGAATTGCATGAGCCACCTTTTTTAAAACCGGTTTTCTATTGACATCAAGTTTTGCAAGGTGCCCTAGCGCATCTCAAAATAAATAATAATAATAATAATAATAAAATAAAAAAAGGAAAGTTTTCCTTAGAACTTCATGTGCATTTAATACATAAAAACCTTATGCTACTATTACTGAATGAGATCCAGTGTTCTTTAATGAAAAATGACTGACAAATTTATTTGGATGATTAATTAATATGGTCCACTGTAAAATTGTGCACACTGACCTCCGTTTGGACACGTTTCTTCTTAACCAAGGTCTGTGAGGGTTTGCAGACCACTGCACACTGCTGTAAGGGCTGCACCTGAGACACTGTTTGAGAAAAGAGAGAGGACCTTATTTCTTAAATACAGCATAAACTTGATGCTCACATTTCCAAAACTTGCACTTCTTAATGTATCAGTTCACATTATCAATTCAATTTAATTCACCTGTATTTCTCTAGGGCTTTTACAATGTAGATTGTGTCAAAGCAGCTTCACATAAAAGATCATAGTGAATTGAAACAGTGTAGTTCAGTTTTCAGAGTTTAAGTTCAGTTCAGTGTGGTTTAATAATCAACACTGAAGAGCAAATTCAATAATCAATATAAAAGCCCCAATATACTTGAAAAGCAATCGAAAAACAAACTGATGTTGCATAGTGAACTAAAATATGGAAAAATAAAAAAATTGTCAGAAAAGAAACTCTGTATTTGATGCTGTAAAGCTGCTTGCTTCAAAGCACTATACTGTATAAAAGCAGAGCTCATGCAAACCTATTCACACCTCTACATTTAGTCTGCATGTAAATGAAATCTCTTAGGTGGTCTGAATTAAATGGGAGCTTTAATGCCGTTTAATGACGTCAAATAAGTCTCCGCTGTCCCTGGAGTGTGTATGTGAAGTTACAGCTCAAAATACCACACAAACACATTTTATAACTGCCTCTTTTAGGCTTTGATCCAAATTATGTAATTTCGGTGACTATCACTTTAAATTCAATTGAGACTGCTCTCACAGCCTCTTAAAAAATATTATCTTAGGCAGCTATGGTGCTTAAACCTGAATGGTGAACGGCTGCTTCTCACTAATGAGGGAGTGACAGTCACTAATGGGTGGGGCTTCCCCCCTCTGATAATATGCACAATGTCAATCAAAGTGTTTCTACACTGTTAATATAAAGTGTGACTGAAAATAATAGATTAAATCAAATTTGACCATTAGAGGCTGAATATATTCATACAATGCAGCTGCACAACTGTGTTTGAACCTCTTTTAATAGTGATTTTTGCACAATAAGTCCCCCTTAATGGTTTTGCAAAGTGAAAAAGATTTCTTTAAGGGCACTGCAACACATCACCCTCACTAAATTATTACATTTGGGCCAGGTAATTAATCAAAGACTATTTTCATGCACATTTTGTCAGTAAATACAGCCCTAGTAAGCCTCCAGCACGTTTAATTGGCCAGCCCTAATTTACATTAAGCATTTCACCATAGTTTAGGGCAGATCACTGGAGCAGCTGCAAACATAAAATCACCTACAACAAAAAGACGAAGAATAATCGGCTTTTAAACAGATTTAAAGTTAAAAACAAAAAGTGTGGTATAGTTGTTTGACCCCTGGAGATTATATCATCTGACATCCTTTTATTAGAGCATCCTAAACCTGCACCATGGTGGTTTTAATGCAATAGTGGTATCAGACAATAACTTTGGATGTTGATCAAAATACTATAATGACACATAGCTAGCAGTTGTATACAAGTTTATTATTTGACAGCTTGAAATTAAAACTTTTACATGCATAATTTAGCCTATTTTTGGTCTTGGTGATGATTAAATTCATCATGATGCAACAAGGCACATCTCATCTCATGTCTGTATCTGTGCAGCGATCAAAATGAAGGAAAAAATCATTATTTTAGAAGACGACAGAAGAGGAAAGAAACACCCAAATCCTGCAGTTATATCCTTTCAGCTACTCTCAAGCAGAAGACAAAAGACTGATTAAAGCAAAACCATGTCATTCTTTCATTTTTATACCTTTGATCATGAAACAGAAATGCACCTCACTTCTCTCACTTTCTTACTGAACATGAAATCATCCATCGCATTAGAGTTCTCAGGGTGATTTAAAGGCAGGTTCTTTAATGTTTCAAAAAAGGTGAGATGCTTCAAGACGTTGTTTTAAATGAAATTAAGAGAACAAAAAATAATGGAAAAATGCTTGATGACCTTCACCTCATATCTTTAAGGTAATCATATGGGCTTTGATGTAACAGATTCATTCACAGATGCAGGAGCTGCATGATTAATCATTAAGACTCAAACACCTACACAGTCATATTTCTAAACAACAACACAACATATTTTAAACTTTTTTTGAGAATTTTTACAAAATTTTTTACAAAAATTTATACATAATAAAATCTGCATGTTATTGAAATGGTCATTCAAACCAAGGAAAAAAAACTAAATAATAATAATAATAATAATAATAATAATAATAAAAGAGATGACTAGAAATTAGGCCTGTCACAATATTTTTTGTGTTGTTGTATGCTATACTGCATCTATATATAGCGCTAAAGAATATTGTCATTTTAAGACTAAGATTTTATGCCATTCATTATATAATGCCAGAATGACAATATAATAATAACCTTAATGAAAGTACACTCTGCTAAAGAACACAGTATTTTATTATGCATTTTAACAATTTATCAATTAGGCAAACCCATATGCTTAACAAATAAATAATATTTGCTAAAAAAAAAAGTGCAAGATAAGTTAGTTTTTTTTTTTAAAGTTACAGAAGCTTCGATATCTGCCACCAGATCAATTTTTAGTTGTCAGACACTCAAATGAAAATATACTATAGTATACTTTCATCTATATACTATATAGATTTATAGTAAATACTAGTGTTTTTTAATCTTACTGACACCTCCAACAGAGATAGAGGGTTGTGCAATTAGCTAAAATGTCGCTAGAATTGGTTTTGTATGGGCGATACACACTCACTGGCCACATTATTAGGTACACCTGTACAACTGTTCATTAATGCAAATTTCTCATCAGCCTGGTCTAATCAGGCATGGTTGTTGGTGGCAGGCGGGCTGGTCTGAGTATTTTAGAAACTGCTGATCTACTGGGCTTTTCACGCACAACCATCTCTAAGGTCTACAGAGAATGGTCTGAAAAAGAGAAAATATCCAGTAAGCGGCAGTTCTGTGGGCATAAATGCCTTGTTGATGCCAGAGGTCAGAGGAGAATGGCCAGACTGGTTCCAACTGATAGAAAGGCAACAGTAACTCAAATAACCACTTGTTACAGCCGAGGTGTGCAGAAGAGCATCTCTGAACACACAACACGTCCAACCTTGAGGCAGATGGGCCACAGCAGCAGAAGACCACACCGGGTGTCACTCCTGTCAGCTAAGAACAGGAAGTTGAGGCTACAATTCACACAGTCTCACCAAAACTGGACAATAGAAGATTGAAGAAACGTTGCCTGGTCTGATGAGTCTCCATTTCTGCTGCCACATTTGGATGGTTGGATCAGAATTTGGCGTCAACAACTTGAAAGCATGGATCCATCCTGCCTTGGATCAACAGTCTAGGCTGCTGGTGGTGTAAGAGTGTGGGTGATATTTTTTTGGCACACTTTGGGCCCATTAGGACTAACTGAGCATCGTGTCAACACCACAGCCTACCCAAGTAATGTTGCTGACCCTGTTCATCCCTTTATGACCACAGTGTACCCATTTTCTGACGGCTACTTCCAGAATGATAACACACCGTGCCAAAAAGCGCAAATCATCTCAGACTGGTTTCTTGAACATGACAATGAGTTCACTGTCTTCAAATGGCCTCCACAGTCACCAGATCTTAATCCAATAGGGCACCGTCGGAATGTGGTGGAAAGGGAGATTCACATTACAGATGTGAAGCCGACAAATCTGCAGCAACTGTGTGATGCTATCATGTCAATATGGACCAAAATCTCCATATTGTATCTGATGCCAAGAAGGTTTAAGGCAGTTCTGGAGGCAAAAGGAGGTCCACCCTGGTACTAGTAAGGTGTACAATGCACCACCAAAAATGATTGAGGTCATGTCCATGTGTTGAGTGAAGTCGATATATTAATTATTATGACAGGCATACTAGGAATGCCTACTTCCTCTAGCAATCAACCTGAAGAAAGTTGTAATTGTCTAAAATTGTAGCCATGTGCAACTTTCCTTTGTGTAAATGTTATTGCTATGCTACACTAGTTGCAGTTTTATACTTTGATTCCTGACAGTCTGAGAAATTTTAAATCAGTGTAATAAATCATTAAGTGCCTTCAAATTTGTTCATTGACATTTTGTAAAGCACGCTTTGTGATAAACTTGGCATTTTTGTAACTAGCTACTCTTAGAAATTAACTTGTAGTGTAGCTAGTTACTTTTAAAAGTGTAATTTGACAGCAGCAGTAGCTTTATGAGCAAGAAGGAGGCCATGTCTTACCCTGTAATGGAGTAACAACGGCCTGCTGTTTGCGTGGTTTGGCGGCTGTCGACTGTTTTCTGTGTAGGGGCGGCAGATCGGTCTTGAAAAGAAGAGCATCTTTGGACTCTTTCTCAGTGGTTTCTTTCTGCTTATTAAACATGTTGGCTTTGTCCTCCAGCTCCTTCTGTTTCTCCTTCAACATCTGGAGGAACAGCAGATCATGTATTTAAAAGTCATCCACCAGCAGTTTCAGCTTCTGCCAAAGCATTTTCCCAAACAAAGTACTTATGTCTAGTTGAAAACTGGGTTACGGATCATGCGGACTTCAGTACAGTTCACAATTGCTATTAGTAATCCGACCTAATTTGCAATCTGTCCCAATATGATGGATTAACTGAATCTGTCTCACTGCTATTTCCACAGAAACAGCTTTAGCTCTATTCGGACGGGACTAGTTTTAGTGGGGGACGTTTGAGACATTTCTGTTTTATAGACACATTGTGATTCTAATCCTGTCCAAATCTGACATGTTTGTCTTTTTTTCTCACACGACCTAAAAATTTCACAGCAGATTACCTATCCGCTCGTTAAGTGTGACGTCAAGTAAAGTGGCTTCCGGGTTCAAGCGCTCTATCAAACCTTTGTGGGGGGACTCAACAAAATGGTAATACACATTTTTAAAGGGAAGTAATACTTTCGAAAATCACTATATACAGTTGAAGGCATAGGGGGGGGTGGACGAGCGCGTGCACGTCTAGAACATGCTGACGTGAGACGTCTGCTTTAGCCAATCAGAACAGACAGACGCGTTCACGTCCACGCGGTTTATGAGAATAAAACTCTTTGAATATTTTTCCAGACACATTTAGCTGATAGAAATTAGGCAGATAACGTTTATCTGTTCATCTTAATACCAACCGTGTAAATAATTACCGATAAGATGCGTATGATAAACAGTTGTTTGTTTATCCTAAAGCTTTGCGTGTGCCCGTGAAACAGCCCGTGAGCGCCAGAACACACATATCATGTACATCTTGACATGGCAACAGGGTTTTCAGCGCTGTGTTAGCCATTTCATTACTTTAATCCTGAACACCGGCAGAGTTGTTGTCTCGAACACTGTTTTAAGGCCGCCGTCATTTACGATCTCCAGCAGTTGGTCTTCTTCTTGCGCGGACATGCTGGATTCAGCTGGTCACGTATCCATTTCCTAGCCGTTTGTGGGTCCTTTAAGGTTGGGAAGTAGTGCTCAAACTCCTTTAACAGCGAAGACTGATGATCGTGCACCAGCTTGGTGAGTGAGGGCGCAGGCTCAGTCTCACACAAAAATCCTCGCTAATGTTTGAAACATGTCCAATATGCCTCAGTTTGGCTTTAAATGCAGCTACTTTATCTGCCAACTTAAAGATAATTCATTCTTGTGCGGCCCGGTACTGATTGATCCACGGACCTGTACCGGTCCGCGGCCCGGGGATTGGGGACCACTGCTGTAGACTATCGTAAAAAACATATATAGCTTAAAGGGGCTAATAATTGACCATGAAATGGTGTTTAAAAAATTAAAAACTGCTTTTATTCTAGCCGAAATAAAACAAATAAGACTTTTTCCAGGAGAAAAAATATTATCAGACATACTGTGAATTATTTGCTGTCATTTATAGATAGATAAGATAGACAGATGCATACATACATGTATATGCTTCATATTCGACAGCCAGAAGGTGATCAACTTTATATAAATTGTTAAAATATTGCTGTTTGTAACGCAGCAAGTCCAGCAGACTGTTGTGTACAAAATGATTTTATATACAATTCACTTGAATGTGTGATATGACAAAAAAATGGCCACAAATGAATATTTTCGTAATTCAAATGAGTAGCGGCTTGGACCAGAAAACCATATTTCATGTCATGACATAAGCAGATTGATTTTCAGCAAACTCAGCAGTCCTGTGAGAAATCTATTTGCGTTCTGAATGCTAATGTCTGCGATTGCTAGAAAACGCATTTAAAAATAAACATTTTCTTATGTTTTGGACGCTGTGATCTTCAGTACAATCTTTAGCACGCAAATATTCAGGTTTTCGCACCCAAAAAATGGATGTTTGCAAGCATGTGAAGAAAAATTCTTTTAAGTTAAACCACACTAAAATTGTTACCTGGATTTCTTTTCGGGACTGTGCAACAGTTTTGAGCAGGTTGAGTCTCTCCCTCTCAGCTGAGCCCATCATCATCTTCTCCAGAGCCAGGAGTCGGTCCAGAACTGATGAATCTGGTGAACTGAAACGTTTCGACTTTTAGCACACGGGAACATCATTTGTGTGTTCACACATATGCATATACATTTATGCGTGAATGTATACATATCATATATTTTTATAACGATTATATTTAAAATTGTGCTGAAATAAATCAATTTAACTTCACACAGTAGGGATAATAATTTAGAAAAAAATAAATAAAATTTGAAATGCTTTCCTCAACAAAACAATTTCATCTGATATTATGTTTTGTTCTAGAAGTGAGCTAACCCTTTAAAAGCCATTCACAGCATCACTAAAAAAGCTAAGAGATGTTCTCCCTATTAATGCCCAACATGGCACACTCAGCCTGTGGTTTTCGCTATAGGGAGTTTTAATTTAAGCACCAGCTACCAAATCCTGGCCTACTGCACAAAGCCAGGACCTGTTAAAAGTGCTCACTCATACAGTGACCAGTTGACCAGCCTTCACACGTGCTGTCTTTACCTCTGTGGATGTAAGGGCGGTGATGGGGAATGTTCAGCTTTCTTCCCTTCTTTGGATCTCTTGTTCTGGGGTTCACCAGAACCTCCAGCCTCCTGTTCCTCTCTGGTTCTCTTTCCAGGAGCTACAAAAGCAAAATTGTAAACAGTGAAACATTGCAAAATGTTGCTTCTTTTAAATACTGCAGTAAAACCGGTATTTTTAAGTCACGATCATGCTAAATTGAGTGGGGTGACTGCGAAACTACATATTTAATGAACAGGATTCATACACATTTTTTACTACTAAAATTGAACGACTTTTCCAGGGCTTAAGTAAATTTTCATGACCTAATGTGTCATGTCATGTCTACGTATATGTTGTAAATAATAATAATAAAAAAAGAACAATATTACAGCATATCATAAAACATGCAACTAATACATATATATACATAAGTATATAAAATGCTCACACCACACTACTACTTTGTCCATGGCCAAACATATGCTTTCACATTATTAAAGACAACTAACCCATATTTAAGTATACAGTTATTTGTTAAACTAATTTCCATGACTTTTCCAAAAATGTTGTGGGTTTTTGATTTTCCAAAATGTTTTCAGACCTGGAAAATAAATTAACAAAATTCCATGACTTTTCCAGGTTTTTCATGGCCGTATGAACGCCGAATGAATGATAATAATAATATATATTTTAAAGACAAAATAAATATTGTTTTATTATTTAAGGCTGAATGGTTTAAGAAATACGGACATGCAATAAATACTGTTTGAAGTTATAAGTACTAAAAATTATTTTTTCAAATCAACCCCTTTTAACAAGCAAAATTCATTAGCAACTGCAGAACAAACAAATATTTGTTAAATTTTTTCCAAAATAAAACAGATTTTTTTACTTCAGTTTTTATAGGTTACATCCCCATTGTTCTGACTTACTCAACATGGAAAAGAAAAAAAAAGAAAAACAAAAACAGAGAAAGAGAAAAATGGAAAAGAAAGAAAAGAGAATGAAAGAAAATAAAGAAACAAAGAAAAAAAAAAGACCGAAACAAAAGGAAAAACTAAAAAAAAAAAGAAAGGAAAATAGGAAGAAAAAAAGAATAACAATTTTTTTTTAACCAGACCACTATTTAAAAATATAAATAAAAAGTTGCAGTAAAATTACAACACTTATGCCTTTATTTCTTCTTCAGAACCATAACCCATCAGGATTTTATTTTGGCATGTTGCTGCTAAAAAAAAAAAAAAAAAAAAAAAAAAAATATATATATATATATATATATATATATATATATATATATATATATATATATATATATATATATATATATATATATATTTTTTTTTTTTTTTTTATATATATATATATATATATTTTTAAATAACCAGTTGGAAATGAGCTTTTATACCAAGACCATGCAGCCCTAAAACCCAATTACCGTTCAGAAAATGATATCTGATAAAACTGCACTGCTCACCAATCGTAGGGGCCAAAACAGTTTCTCTGACAAAAGGCCGATTGACAATCTGCTTAGACTTTGCGGCGAAATTAAGTGCAGAAAAGGTGTCAAAGTAGTATTTGTACTCGGGTGCGATGTTTGTGATCATGACAGAATGTGCGGATCCACCCAAAGAGTCCTGCAGCAGGCGGGTGAGTTTACTGTCTCTGTAGGGCACGCGGCCCCCAGCCCCTGTGTTCAGAGCGTCCACCACCTTACTGAGCGTGAACAGAGACAAGTTGATGGCTCCGCTCTCTTTCAGACGAATGCCCTGGTTTCCTGTGCGCCGATTGTCCTCTGAACCGGCAAGATCCACCAAATAAAGCTTTCCTGTTTGCTGTCTGTGTGGCGGACCACGCTGAGACTTCACCACCTGAGAGGACAAAACATGCATGTGTGTGAGATCTTTTTCTAGACTGTTGACAAGTTGCATTCACATCACTTTAAATATTCTAGATTCAGTTTGAAGGATTTATTTAAATTAATAATGCAAAGTGATATTACAAAGTATATACAAATAAATTAGAGAGTGAAATTCAATACCTTTTAAGACCTTAAGACTCCATTTTTAAGACCTTATAATCACTTTTCAACCAGAAACACTGGCGAGATTTCACCTTTCAGTCTATTTTCTAAATATTATTGTAAGAAACTAATCCAAAATGAAAACATTATTCACATACTGAATAAAAATCTATTTATTCTAGCTAATTCAGCAGGTTGGTGCATATAGAACGGCAGAAAAAACTTGCCCTGGTTACTGCAGTAAAGAAAGCAGCACGATGTCAAATCTAGCAGGATTTCATAAACTACACAGCATCCTGATATTCACAGATTTAATTCAAGCATACTTTAACATACAACCATACACTGAATAATCAAAAATGATATAAAATTTAACACCTTGTAAAATAGCATTTAAGACTTCTTAATCCTTTAAGGGCCTTTAAGTTCTCTACATTAATTTATCAACTTTTAATACTTTAAGACCCGTCAGACACCCTATATAAAAGGTCGGCTCACACGGTGCGATTTTTTTTAATAATCCTGAACAATTGCAGCATGTCAGACTGCATGAACATGGCTCCCACGTCACACTGTAAAATCTCAGCTGTTATAAAGTCAGACTGAGTGGCAATGAAGATGCACCAAACACAAAAAAAACACCCCCTGGAGTCTTCCACCCGTGACACTATACCACGTTCTAAAATGAATCCTCACAGCAAATGTAAACAATCTGTAGTGGCAATTTTAACAATAAACAATAAAATAATAAAACCAAAAAAAAAAAAAACAGTTTTGCCATTTCCCTGCGGTCATTTCAAATATTGCATGCATTGAGTCACTAAATTCAGAGCTCCTACTGGTTCTTTTGTTGTCACTCATTGCAGCTGTTGTCACACTGCAAAAAATGGTCCGAAATCTGACACTGCTAGAAAATCAGAGGAAAAATCTGATTGCAATGGGCACTAAGCAACTGTCAGTGAACATGTCAAACCAACGATCAAAGATCACAGATTTAAGCCTAGGATTTTAGGAATCTTTTAGAATTTCCCAAATTTGTCCCAGATGACAAAATTGTGGCTGAAATCTAACAGAGTAAGCAGGGCTTAAGTTAAAAAAAAAAAATAATAATAATAAAATAAAATAAAATAAAACAGATATATAATATTATACGTTATACATCATGTACACTAAATTAAATCTATTATAGGTACATTACATTATTACATTAATCTATATAACTTATTAATATATTATAGTCACAAATATAATATATTAATATAAACTTTAATTATATAATGTAATTGTACCAACAAAAAAATCTCTGAAAATCGAGTCCTCTACAAGCTCTGTGTTTTGTAATTTTTCAGCTTTTTTGCATTCTATAAATCATAAGCTATGTTTTCACATATATTTACGCACATTTTGGACTATCCTATAAAAAATGCTTGATGGAAAAACCAAGATGCACACCAATTTCGAAAACGTGCATTAAAAGAATGTGTGTATAACAGATAATCTTTTTTAGAAAAAAATATGCATAAATTGATGAAAACACTTAACAAATAAACTTTGATATGTGGATTTAAAAAAAAGTGATTTTGTTATGAGATCATGTGATGATAAAAACTGCAAGTCCTTCATGCAAAATATTGATATGGCATATTTGGATGGAAATATAGCCAATGAGAATTTATCAAAATTGGTGGTAATCAAATGAACAAATAAAACTAGCAATTTATTCTTTTGTTTACTTTAATTATTTTTAAAATGGTTTTGTTTGCGAATCCAAGAGATTTACAACAAAACGTATTAATTAAAACCAGTCAAACTAAAGTTATTCATTTCCTTAATGAAATATTACAGCTCTTATTCAGTAATTATATTTACCAATATCTTTTAAATAAACCATATTTGTGAAAAGTTTAAGAACTGCACACAAAATTCAATAATTCTGCCAATTCAATAGCAGTCTTGAAATGCATATTCATCAATCATCATAATTGTAGTTAAATGTACAACCATCGTTTTGAGCCAAAATCCTTTTTTTCTCCACATTCTGAATTGAATAGATGATTAGAAATAATCTAGAAATGTCAGATTATATTTTGCACTTCTATCTGCATTTTCTGCATTGTGAAAATCATTTATAATACTGACATAAGTGTCCTCTCTCTCAAATGCACCCAGCAGACAGAGCGAAAATCTGGGGTTTTTCATGAGAGACAGATTTAATTTCAGCACCAGCTACCAAATCATGGTCTACCACACAGAGACCAGGACCTGTTAAAGTGCTCATGGAGAAGCAGAATGAAGAGAAGAGATCAAACCTTTATGAGGAGGATGGCGTGACTGCGGCTGGAGCGCTGGTTGAGTTTAGTAGAGGCTGTGGTTCGGTTGAGGCTCGCGGGGATGAAATGAGTGTCAAAATCAGCAAAAGATGAGAGAGGAGTGTGTGTTAACCCGGGAATGAGGATGTTTCTGTCCTTGTCTTCACGGATGGGCAGGTCCTGGGAACCTGGGGACAACAGATCCAGCACCTAAAGAGAAAACAAAAATCAATATTCCAGAGCAGCGCTCCACTGAAATGGGCTTTAAAGGTCCCATGAAATTAAAATAAAGTTCAGACGTAGTATCAGTATTATTAGTGTGTATGATATTTATGTGCTCAAAAACAGCGGCAACATTTAAGTTTAGAAAATATAAAACTGATATACACATGTAAAGCTTGCAGATTGTTGATGAATTGTAGAATTCCACCTAAATGGATCAACTATTTTATTTTGTCACCTCATACTTCAGTTTCTCATGAAATTGTGACCAATCAAATGCTCTCCAGTGCATCTGACATGCCCCGCCCCCTTCAAGATGCTTCACAATTGATGCTCTTGAGCTCAAACTCTCTCACTGGCAGAGCGGTGATAAAACAAAACACTACTGGCTGTTTTTTTTTTAGCTACACTGTTCCCCTTCTCATGTTTCAGTTGAGATTACAACAAACATTGAATTAAAAAAAATGCACATTTTAAAGCACTTCACAAGATCTTTAACTGTGTGTGTACTTTTTATATCCTGCTGGGGACTGAATGCACACAGATTCATGGGAATTTGTCACTATAGGGACCAAAATTGAAGGTTAAAAAAACATCTGGTCAAACACTACTGACAGATACAGAAATGAAACATTAATCTCTCTTCAGATTTCAGACACCTTCTCACGAAAGTAAATGCTTCTTAAGGTTATTTAGATACTTGTACTGTAAAAACTAACGCACATGCAATTCTTAATACCAAAATGTCCTGAATGTCTGCTCATTTTAAGGCCTTATGTTTAATAGCAAATTAGCAATTAAGACCCACGGAAATACTCTTATGCGTCGCTGAAGCCTGCCTGCTAAAAATGTAGTTTTGCAAACATAGTAATAAATTACATGTGTATACAAATTTACAAGACATTTCGATTAAACAATATTTGTACAGTAGTGCATGTGATGCTACATTTTTAAATTGGCTGCTAAACCATTAGCCGAGTCAGTATATAGTGTCTGGATTCATGAAATAAATAAAAAAAACAAATAAATAAATACGCATGCGAGTAGTACCCAGATGACCTACTACTTCTGGAGAGATTCTGAAGTGCGCACGCAATGGATGCTACACTATCCCATGATGCTACATGAGAGAAGTCATGAACCGGAGAGATTCAATGCAACTGATGTGGGTATGTCATGTGATGATGACAAAATGATGACAAATGGCGGATGTAGTTCATCGTACTATATAGAGCACATTTTTCTAACTGTTGTACTTTTCTAAAGGTCGAAAATTCACATCTAAATGAAGCACCTATTCGAGCAGTACCTGGTTTCCGCTACATTCATTCTTCCGTGGCGGGGCGCCACACCAAAATTCATCCCGCCACAGCTACATTGAAGCTTCTTAATTAAAATATTCGGTCGTTTTTTATTTAATACCGGGTTAAAAATCGCACTGAAAACGTATTAAAGGTAAGTCTATCGGAAACATTCATAAATATTCCTAGCAAATCTAATAAATGTTGGAGACATACTCTGTACATAAACGCAGTAAATCACACTTCAGCTGCATTTATTTGGGGGCGAGCAAGAAAATCTGCCCTTGAGCAGCGTATATTTGAGGGCGTGCAAGAAGTTTTGTCCACGAACAGACGAAATCGGCGCTCAAGCAGATTGACATGCTCGTAGGCTATTTCATGAATGCGATCTCGACTTTATACTGCGCCCATGACACTTGTCAATGAAATAACGCCACATGTAGTGGTAGATCTGTGTACAATGGCCAACAGAGTCTGCCGCCACAGCTGGAAAAAATCCTAGAGGAAACACTGCAGTAGGCAATTTCAGCCACAGCCATTGTCTTATATAGTATTTCTTCTTACTTTTGCAGTCAATAGTGACTGATTTTTAACATTCTTTAAATATATATTTTGTGTTTAACAGAAAACAAACTCAAAGGTTTGAAACCACTTAAAGGCAAGTAAACAGTGAGTAAATGATTAAATAGGTAGTTCATTAAACAAATTAAATACAGCAGAAGACACTTTTCAAATCCTGCCTCAACCTTTTAAACAGAAGACCAATTTCCACACTGAAAACTAAGCTGCTGCACCTTTTCATTGTAGATTTCCAAGTAAGACATCCCAATGGAGTACTCCCAACCATCTTGCTCTTTTTTCTGAGCTCCAACCAGATTGAAGACCTCCTTTACAGCTCTGGGAATAACGCCTGGCTGCTCTTGACTGCCCAGCATGGTGTGGGTCTTTCCTGAGGTGAAGAACAAGAATGATTTTAACAACTGTCAAAATGTAAAAGATGAAGTGACGGGGGTGGAAAAGAAGAGAAGTCCTCTAACCTGCTCCGGTGGGTCCGTAGGCAAAGACACTGGCATTCTGACCATTGAGGATGTGTGGGAGGATTGGCTTGACGGAGGTCAGAAACACCTCCTGCTGTGTGGTCTCTTCACCATGAAACACATCAAACCTAAAAATACACATGGACATAGATTTGACCCTTGTGACCTAGTCACTGAACGAAAAAATAACTGCATCATTTGCTTAATTACAAAATTTATGGATACACCAAAATTACTTATCCTAATACGTTTGTCAAACAAGTAGCTCAAGAAATTAATGGCAGATTTCCTTTAACCTCCTAGAACTTAGTGGCACATTTTAGCTCTTAAGTGGCGATTTAAAATACATTGAGTGTTTTATATTTTGTTAAAGAAATACAGTGTCATCCTGCAACTGTTTTGCAGCATATGAAACGTCCCAAACATCATTTTTAACTGTCCAAACTGGAAAAAAATATTGCGTTTACTCTCTGATAGTCAAAACATGTTAAAAAAAATTCCATGTTATATATGCAATATGAAAGTCAGGAAAAAGTGTTTTATGTAAATTCGGGCCACAAGTCCACATATATGGACATAATTTTTTTCTAAAAGTACATCATATCAAAAGATGATACTTAGGTTTTTATTCTAGTTATGTTCAAATAAGCCCAAAAAGCAAAAAGAAATAAAAAATGCACGTAAAAAACAACTTGGGCCGTAAGAGGTTAAATTAAATAATATATACACACACATACAGTAGTCAACATTTGAAGTAAACCAAAAATATTATTCAAAATTGTCCTAAAACAAGAATGGGTGTTATTCAATCATTTTGATGAAAGGTAATGATCCACTTCAAATGGTAAGTACTGTACTTTATTAGTTTATTTTTATACACGTACATACACACATTTGATACAGATTATATAGAAAGTTAAATATCTATGTACTAGGGATGTAACGGTATTGTAAATACCATCATACCGCAATAGCAATTTTTTTCGATAATACCGTAGTCGCATGACTCGATAAAATTATAGGTCCTTTGAGAAAATTTGCTCAGGCGAATAAAGCGAACGGGAGGTAGCGGAAACTACAATTCCCATCAGCCCAGACGTGGCCATCATCCTTTGCGGTCTGTTGTCACTACAGATCCAGTAATGTGGAAATGGAGTGTGCTGCTAGTAGCGAGAAGAAAAAGAGCTGGAAATGATCGAACCTAAAGCGGGTTTTAAATCGGATGTGTGGAAGCATTTCGGTTTCTCTCTAAAAATATACGAGAAAGGAGAAAAGGTGACAGACAAAAAAAAAAAAACTGGTATGCAGGCACTGCCAGACTGTGGTGAAATACATGTTGGGGAATACGACTAAAAATAGTCATGGGGACTGCAGAACACAGCACACTTGTTAGATTGATGCAGAAATTGACTTGTACCGCAAAGAGACCTCTATCTCACTCATGGCTTGTCCTCTCAAGTGGGGGAAAGAGAATGCACAACGTTACCCACTGCTGTCAACCTGGGCCAAGTCATATCTCTCTGTCCCAGAAACCTCAGTCCCAAATGAGAGGGGTTTTTTTCTGTTGCAGGGCACATGCCCAGAGATCCCAGCTTTTACCAGATTATAGTTATATGATAATTTTCCTTAAAACCCATCTCTATCTGAGTGAGTGAGTGAGTGATTAAATGTTGAATGTGATGAGTTTTCAACAATACTAAATTGAAACTTTATTTTTTTACATGGTTTAATAATTTTTTGTTATTAAAATTTAAAAATTGAAGTTCCGGTTTCAAAGCTTACAGATAGATGGCTAATTTGTATGTCATTGACACTTTTTTGGAGTATTTTCATTAGTTTTGTTTTTCCTGTAAACTATTCAATAAATACCGTACCGTGCCATTCATACCGAGGTATTACCGTATTTGAAATTATGATACCGTTACATCCCTACTATGTACCAAAATTGGTTTTGTATAGCTTAGTTTTAAGGTATGCTTGTTTGTATCACATATTAATCTTTGCCCAGCACTAAAATAAATGTGTATTTATTTTGTACACTTATAAAAGACTGTGTGTCTCTCCCTGATAATCCAAACAGCCATACGAAGAGCCGCTGGATTTTCTTCAAAGAGAGCTTTCATATCAGCACCAGCTACCAAATCATGGCCTACTGCACTGAGACCACGACCTGTTAAAAGTGCTTAGAAATAAAACTGAAGAAAACTGAACACTTTCAGCATTATGACTGACTGGTACTGCAGGGTCTCAGTGGCGTTCCTCCAGTTGATGATCTCCAGCTTCTGTGGCCCCAGACCCCGCACACAGGAGCCCTCGCTCTTCTCGTCCTGCTTGTCCATGTAGGGTCTCAGCCGGACGGCCACTCGAACACGAGAGGTGCGTTTGGATCCAGCAGCTCCATCGTTCACAGCAACACGCTGTGCCATTTCTGAAAGCCCAAACACACGCTTTAAACAATGAAGCCCAGTTGGTTTTATATTTGCAAATTCCTTTATTTTTTAAACAACAACACTGTCCCTTTATTTGCATGTATGTGATTGATAGATCACTTATATGCATATTTAAATGCATGCAATTATTTTCTATGTCTTCTATTTTGACCTGAGGATGCTCATCCCAAGGCCTCTAGAGCAGGGGTGCCCAAACTGTTTCTAATGAAGGGCCAAAAACCAAATATCATTGATAGCTGTGGGCCAAAGAAAAATGTAGGCCTACAAAACTATTATACATTAAAGTTACCATGAGTGATATCCTATTTTATTTCTTTAAATTTAAAAATAAATAGAAAAGATTACTTTATATCCTATTACCTAATGCAGTATAACCCTGTAAATGATAGCATGGCAATAAAAACAATCACATTTATATTATCACAATTGCTCCAAACCTGGATAAAAACAAACAAAATCACATTTCATTCAACTTAAATGACTGTGTGTCTCTCTCCGATAATCCAAACAACTATACGAAGAGCCGCTGGATTTTCTTCATAGAGAGCTTTCATATCAGCACCAGCTACCAAATCATGGCCTACTGCACTGAGACCACGACCTGTTAAAAGTGCTTAGAAATAAAACTGAAAACGATCAGCTTTCAGTGGAGTTCAATGCTGAATACATTAGTCAAGCAGAATCTGTCTTTGCCTTGATTTGCTCACCAAAGTCCTCTATCCGTCGGGAGACAGTATATACATTTTGAACTAAATCTGATTAAATGACACCATTGCAATTGAAACATTTCATTTCAGTCAGCTTTTTTTAGCTTATCAATACAACATACAAATAAAAGGTTAAACTAAGTTTCTCTAAATTATCCCCATCATTCTCACTCTGTTCTCAGATGCACCCCGCCAGGTGGCCCATGAAAAGGTGGCTTTCCATGGGCCACCTTTGCCCGCGGGCCCTAGTTTGGGTATCTTTGCTCTAGAGACTGTGCAGCAGCATTGATGAAATGCAAGACCTGTGAAGAGTAGGCATGGGCCGATATAAGATTCTGACGGCATGATAACCTTGGATAAAAATATCACGGTTTCATGGTATTGTGCTCACTTTCCTCTTTGAACACACTATATTTATTTTTAAATATTCTGGAGCAGTAAACATGTCAGGCTAAATAACTCAAATGAATCATTGACTTCTGCTGTCTTCATTTGTTTCAAAAACAGACATTTATTTACAATTAAAAACTGCATCATTGGATATTTTTCTTGCTGGAGATAATGTTGTCCTAAAAATAAAACAAAACAAATGTAAATAAAAAAAAAATCTTACACATACTTTAGGAACAGTATTACCAGAAATTTTGGCAGTTTTAAAGGGCCATGAAACCCCCTCGTTTCAGCAGGGTGTTTTCACACCTCTACTTTGGAAAAAGTCAGAAAAGTGGGCGTGTCCAGCTCTGTTTAGGGGGGAGTGTCGGAGGAACTAAAGTGGGATGGTGTGGGAGTGTCTATTTGGGCACGCGCGAGTTTCAGTCAAAATACACACACATGACAAAAGTGATGGTGTTTAACCTACATGGACATCTGTAGTCGAATTATTTGCCAAATTATTAAATGGTGGACTTTAATTGCAGTTTGGCTCTTTCATTCAGGGAATTCATTCATGCCCCTCGCGACAAACGCGATATTTGATTCGAGGATCTGCTCTAAGCGTGTATTTTTCATGCAATGTTTGATACCGCACGGCGAATGAGAATAAAAAACTCAGCATTTCCCGGAAACTTAGATGCACACGGCAGGTAGCGTCAGAAAACCGCGTGTGTTATTCCAGTCACAAAATGCGGTGCTATGTTTGCACTCAGTGCAATAGTTAACTTAATTCGATACGAACAAACTGAATAAACAAAGAGCACTGGTCGCTCACTTACCAAATCTGTAGAGACAGGACAATCACCAGCAACTAGAGCCGCGTCATTATGAAGAGAAGACTAACGTTACAAGCGAATCCGGATTTCAGCGTTTGCAGATGAGAACAGCTCTCAGGTAAACAATAATCCTCCTTAGACACGTAAGTTATTGTTGTCGAGTGTCGCGTACACTGTAATCCACACGTGACTCCAGCTGAACTCTCACAGAGAGAAAATGAAAACGAAACTTAATGGCAGCAAACTATAAAAGCAACACTTCACGCTTGTTTTGCCAACACAACGTGGCGTCTCTGGGGCGTAAACACGGTGACACTAATGAATATTAATGAAGTTGCACAATAGAGCGCGCTGATTGGTTTGAACCAAGCCTTACTCATGCATTAATGCATCAGACTGTAAGACGTAATAAGACACACTCTGGAACAGACGTCCAGTCTGCACGGTGGAATACACGCTATTATGTCATGACCGTGACGCAGCTTCAAAAATTCGTTTCAAACAGGAAGTACGAATTTGCTTGAAATAACGCAAAAACAACCAATTTACACTTTTTAGTGAAATATAGGTGTCCTAATAGTGTTTTTAGCAGTGTGGGACACATATACGACTGTCAACAGCTCAAAAAATGTGTTTTGGTGTTTCGTGACCCTTTAAAAGCTTGACTTCTCCAAACCGCGGTATACCTTAAGACGGTTATCCCATGCCTAGTGAAGAGACGATGCAGATCATAGAGGACAACGCACACATAATTAACTTCATTAAACATGCACACATATACATCACCTGTATATGCTATAAAATTGCAGGCTAATGATCTCTGTATATAATAACTTAAATTTGATTGTAGCTTTAACTTTTTATTTAACTTTTAATTGAATTAATGCTATAATGTGCACCTTTCAAAAAGCTGCTTTGAAACAATAATTATTGTAAATATACTTAAATTGAACATACTAAGATGTGTGAATATGCATGTATATGAAGAGCTCTATGGCAAAAGCCTCAAAGTGCCATCAAAAATTATCTTCTAAAATATATTTTTTTAGCTTCCTTTGTGTTCATTAATATCACTTTTATGCAAAATAAAATAGTTCTTTTTAAGTGAGGTTACGGAATTAACACATTAGGGTGAGAAAAATGCTCACTTTAGAAGATAGAGGTAAAGTTGGTTTTATATCAGTCTTTAAAGACAGATTCAGACTTTTTCCTTTATAATATAATTTCAGATTAGTATTCTTTTGCAAGGGAAAATATGTTATATTATGATTTTCAAAGTACAACATTGTTGACAGTTTATTAGATAGTGCTAATGTTGTTTTAAAGACATACTTGCATGCTAAATTCTGGCCGAATATTCAAACTGGTCTGGTAAACAATAAAGAAAGAGTTAATAGAACAAATGTGCAAATATTAAACCAACTTTACATTAATCTTTAGACAAAAATTACAACCGCCACCTGGAGTTTTTTTTTGCATTTGAACTCTTCATATTTTCCGAGTATGTGTGTATTTATTATGTCAGTGTTTTTATCGATCACTGTTGGTAACTTATTTATAAAATTCTCTTTGCGATGAATAAAGTAACTTATCTGTCGAACTTATCTTCATGGAAGTTACCACGCTATTGTTACTTTGAATATTCGGTCTGAAACCGCATGCAAGTATAACTTTAAAACAACATTAGCACAATTTGATTGACTGTAGAATGTTGTAGTTTGATAGTCGTTGGCTGCTATTATGATTTGCCCATGTTTAATTTGCAGAGAATAACGTTACTTTAATGAAATGACATTATTACGGAGAAAAACCCGAATGTGCGAATATAAAACCAACTTTACCCCACTCGTTAAACATATGCTACAGATATACAAATGACATACTTTAAACATAACATCGATTAATAGTAATATTAATGCTTTAAACGGAAAACGCTGCCGCTTTCTGAATGTTTATCCGCTCTGAGCGCGCGGCCGCTGCTGAATTAAAGGCCTGATGGGCTTTCCCCTTTCAAAAATCGCTAAACAACAACCGCTTTTTGCGAAACATACAACAAGTTTACCTCTTCACTTGTGCAGCGGCTAATCCAGTTCTTGAACGATATATAATTCACACTCGGGTACAATGTGAGTGTGTTTTTTAAAAATTACTCAATTCAATGCATCACTACTTCCGTATAAACTCCTTGACAATGGCGCCTCTCGGGTCGGCACGGTTATTTTCAAAATATAAAGTCTCCGCCTATTTTGCTCATTTTAACCAATCAGCACTTCTGAATTTAGAAAACGGAGTTCTTCTCCAGAGATTTTTCAGAGGAAACATACAACACGTAAGTTACTGCCATCATTCGGTGATGCTGGGGAAAAACTCGTTCTTCGTCAATCCTCCATTTCTGATATCACATTCGATTTGTTTTACTTTTTACAAATATATTTGAATAATAAACAAGCAAATTCATTCAACGTCCCCGTCAGCGACATCATGTGATGTGTGCGATGAAATCTAAACACGTCGTATTTTCAATATGGCTTCAAAAACAGCAATCAGTAAAAAGTGAATAGTCAAATCACTTTCAAACACTTACACTTTATATCCTTATATTTAATTATATTCTATATATTACTTTACATATTATTGCTCTTTTGTTGATTTTCATTGAGCCTTTACTCTTTGGTCTAAACTACAGCAGAAACACTTTGTAAACAATCTGCTTTATCTATATAAGTTTTACACTCTCACTTTCCTGATATTTACTATAGTAATGTAGAAAAATATGTTTTGTATTAAAATGTTCTGGTCCTTCAACCCTATCTTTTTATCTATTTTCAGTTTTTATTTCTTTCTGTCTGTCCATAGATTAACATTAATCAATGTCATCTATTACCTGATTAACAACAAAAGCTAACAAAGTTTTTATCTGTTTTCCAATTTTCTTTATATAATTATAATAAAATCTATACTCACTGGCCATTTCATTAGGTATTTATCAAATTTCTCATCAGCCAATCACATGGCAGCAACACATGGCAGCAACACTGCCTTGTTGATACCAGAGGTCAGAGGAGAATGGCCAGACTGGTTCCAGCTAGAAAGATAACAGTAACTCAAATAAGCACTCGTTACAGCCGAGGTGTGCAGAGGAGCATCTCTAAACACACAACACGTCCAACCTTGAGGCAGATGGGCTACAGCAGCAGAAGACCACACCAGGTGCCACTCCTGTCAGCTAAGAACAGAAAACTGAGGCTACAATTCACACAGGCTCACCAAAACTGGACAATAGAAGATTGGAAAGACGTTACCTGGTCTCGATTTCTGCTGCGACATTCAGATGGTCGGGTCAGAGTTTGGCATCAACAACATAAAGCATGGATCCATCCTGCCTTGTATCAGTGATTCAGGCTGGTGATGGTGTAATGGTGTGGGGAATATTTTCTTGGCACACTTTGGGCCCATTAGTATAAATTGAGCATCGTGTCAACACCACAGCCTGCCTGAGAATTGTTGCTGACCATATTCATCCCTTTTGTGACCACAGTGTACCCATCTTCTGATGGCTACTCAAGCAGAATAACGCAACATGTCATAAAGCGCAAATCAGCTCAGACTGGTTTCTTGAACATGACAATGAGGTCACTGTACTCAAATGGCCTCCACAGTCAGCAGATCTCAATCCAATAGAGCACCATTGGGATGTGGTGGAACGGGAGATTCGCATCATGGATGTGCAGCCGACAAATCTGCAGCAACTGTGTGATGCTATCATGTCAATATAAACCAAAATCTCTGAGGAATATTTCCAGAACATTGTTGAATCTCTGCCATGAAGGATTAAGGCAGTTCTGAAGGCAAAAAGGGGGCCAAGCGGGTACTAGTAGGGTGTACCTAATAAAGTGGCCAGTGAGTGTATACTGACTTTCTAACACAATCCCTCTTGTACATTTTCCTATTCAATTACCTAAAACCAAATCTATGTATAAATCTCTCTCTCAGAATATTCTTTGTACTCCATTTACACTGCATTAGACTGTCTTGTAATTATTGTATCATTTACATATTTCTATTCTCACTTGTCGCTTTGGATAAAACTACGAAATGATTCAAAATACATGAATAACAATGCATTCATTTATAAAAGAGTTACTTTATTAAAAGCTTGCTTACTTCAGGTAATGTACAGCATAAATATGCCTTTTCTATATACATACACACACACACACACACACACACACACACACACACACACGCACGCATGCACACGCACCTTCAAACATCTTACAGTAATTATTGCTAAATATAAGTGTGCCAATTTCCACGAAATATTAATGCTCATCTATGTGCAAATTTCACAAGTTCTATATTTTGGTACCAGAAGATCTAAAAAAGTGTGCCTTTAAATGACGATGTACAACTTAGCATCTCCAATTCACAATTACAGGTCCTGCAGTACGTTTTCTTCATGATGTTCTATGTTACAAATGCAAGTATTAGACGAAGAGAAAGTAAATTGAACACAACCTAAACATAAGCATGTTGCAGTTCAGTATCTTATATCAAATATTACACTGCCAACACAATTGAAAAGGGTAAAAAGGTTCAGTGTTTCACACAACTCTACAGGAATGCAAAATACCACAGAAAAGCAATATTATTATTTACTGCTGACCTCTTGTAAAAGAGCAAGAAATAAAGTGGAGGAGCTGCAGACCATTTGAGAAAGAAAGCTCACTAATATTCTTAGAAAAATGGCAGCTCTTCTTAAAGGGATAGTTCACTCGCGAAAGAAAACTTGCTGTTGATTTACTTGCATTAAAGAGTTCTTTGATCTGAAACAGGGCTCCTTGGTGATTCATGAAATGCAGGTCAACAGCTATCAGCGCTATAAGAGTGCAAAAAACACAAAGGCAAAACAAAAGTAATACCCCAGGCTTTTAATGATACATTGAGGTCTTTATGAAGCAAAACATCAGTCTGTGCAACATTATTACCTTATTTTGTATGGTGCAACTCTCTTGTGCCTTCCAGTTGCATTCTTGTGAAATTTTAATTATTTTATTAATTATTATTTCTCATAACTAATTTATTTAGTCTTTGCCAGGATGACAGTACATACTATTTCACTAGTTACTTTGCAAGATCCTAGTATTCAGCTTAAAGTGACATTTAAAGGTTCAACTAGGCTAATTAAGCAAGTTAATTAGTCAAGTCACTGGACAACATTGGTTTGTCCTGTAGCCAACTGAAATAAAATCTAAAAATATTGACCATAGCAGTCTTTTTATTCCAACTAAGCACACAAAAAAGGAAAGAAAGGCTTTCTTTGGAAGAAAAACATAATAGGAAATACTCAGAAAAATGTCCTTGCTCTATTAAACATTCATTTTCCTTCAGCTTAGTCTCTATTTCAGAGGTCACCACAGTGGAATAAACCGTCAACTCTTCCAGCATATGCCCTTCCAGCCGCAACCCAGTACTGGGAAACACTCATACACTATGATCAATTTTGTTTACCCAATTTACCTATGGTGCATGCTGTCTTTGGACTGTGGGGGAAACCAGAGCACCAGGAGGAAACCCACGCCAACACAGGGAGAACATGCAAACTCCACACAGAAATGCCAACTGACCCAGCCTGGACTCGAACCGTCAACCTTCTTGCTGTGAGACGACAGTGCTAACCACTAAGCCACATCTATTAAACAGCACATAGGAAATAGATGAAAAATAGGGGCTAATCATATGGGTTTCAACTGCATATTAAAATTAGTGATAATCAAAGTGTTACAGTTAGCTGTATCTACTGTTTAAAGATGTGAATACTCAACAATTTCTTGCCCAGAATCATCATTTCGCTTCACAGGACCTCAATTTATCATAAGGAGTCACAGGGATTTATTTAATTGTGCCTGTCGACACTTAAAGTGCTATTGATATGCATTTTGTAAATCACCAAGAACAGTTTAAGCTAAAAACCCCTTTAATGTTTCATGAAGAAAATAACATCACATCCATCCTGATGGTTTGAGCGTGAGTAAATGAACATCATACAGCTGTAAAATGTCTGCCTCTCCTTCAATATTTAAAACTCCTCAAATAAAACCTGCTTTCTGTTTCAGGTGTATTAATATATTAATCAAAGAGGCTACATTCTAGCTTTCTTGCAGCATCTCTATTCATACCCTGCCGTGCAGATAGCTTTTCCTTCACAGAGATGTTATGAAGTTTTGCATCTTCTCTCATTATTTTCCAGCATTGGAGTGGGGTTTTGTGTCAAGTGCAAGTTCAGGTGGATCACATGTGGAAGATGGACTCGAATTCGCTGAGTAAGAATTCCACGATCTGGTTCTGGAAGACCATGTAAGTGGCGATGCTTGCCGTCTCCTCCTCAGGCTTGAGTAACGTCGGGCCGAAGACGATGGCCACGTTCTGAACAGTCATTCTGTTCTCATTGCCATGCTGAATAACCCTGAGGAGCAGAGAGAGCTGTTATAGGCTGATACACTGTTAGAAACAATCTGTAAAATATACAGTGATAAAAACTAGAACAGCCCGAACTTTAGTATTAATAAACAATGGAAAACATAAAATTATTTTCACAATTTTACAGCAAACTACAGTATTTAATTAATTTGCAGTATGATAATAATAATAATAATAAAAATGATAATAATAATAATAATGATAATAATAATAATAATAATAATAACGATAATAATAATATTAATAATAATAATAATAATAATAATAATGATAATAATAATAATGATAACAACAACAACAATAATAATAATAATGATGATGATAATAATAATAATAATAATAATGATGATGATAATAATAATAATAATAATAATGTTGATGATAATAATAATAAGGATAATAATATTAATAATAATAATAATGATAATAATAATATAAATAATAATAATAATGATGATGATAATAATAATAATAATGTTGATAATAATAATAATAAGGATAATAATAATAATAATAATAATAATAATAATAATAAGGATATTAATAATGATAATAATAATAATGATGATGCTAATAATAATAATAATAATAATAATGATGATTATAATAATAATGATAATAATAAAAAAATAATAATGATGATGATGATGATGATGATGATAATAATAATAATGTAATAATAATAAGGATAATAATAATAATAATAATAATAATAATAATAATGATAATAATAATAATAATAATGATAATAATAATAAGGATAATAATAATAATAATAATAATAATAATAATAATAATCATCATCATCATAATGATAATAATAATAATGATGATAATAATAATAATAATAATGATTATGATAATAATAATAAGGATAATAATAATAATAATAATAATAATAGTAATAATACATCAATATTAGGTAAAATTAAAAATGGGTAAACAATTACAAAAAAACCTAATGTACAAAAAAACAAAAAACAAAAAAAAAAACAAATATATATTCAGTCTAACTTGCCTAAATAACCTAATTAAGCTTTTAAATGTCACTTTAAGTTGAATAGATGAATTACCTGTCTGTAAACATTTAGGATGCACACACAGCGAGGTTGCAGAAATAAACTGGGAGCGCTAGCAGTTACAGCGAGGGAATGACATCAGATGCGGTACAGTTTGTTGTTGTCTTAGAGATAAGTTATATTGATTGCATATTATATATATTGTATACATAATGCTTTCAGCATAATATAACAGCTTGTCACCCAGTAATAAGCACAGTTATTCTGCAAAATTACAGCTAAAGTGAGCGGCGTTCATCTGACAGGTCCATTTGCGATAGCACCCTCCCAATGAATATTGGATAAGACGAAATGAGCAAGCATCCAGCCCCAAATATACAACTATCATATTGAAACTCCAAGTGATTTTACAAGTGAGAAGTTAAAGGTCTACAAGTCTTTGAATGCCAACAATTTTGAACTGCAGAGTCAAGCATTTTTAATTAGCTCCTCACTCCATTCAGCTCTTATGATGGCTGTTTCAGCCAAGGACGTCTGCGGATGGCATTAAAAGCAGTGTGGTGTACAGTAAAATTTAAGTTTTCTACTTTTTCGAATTTGGCAGCCTACTGCACAACATGACATGTTTGCTATTGCAACAGGTATGCACGGTTGAACCCGTGTGACGTCATGTGTGACGTAGGTTGGTAATTCCCCTATACTAGTGTCTTGAAAAATGTCTAGTAATATATTATTTACTGTCATCATCGCAAAGATAAATCAGTTATTAGAAATGAGTTATTAAAACTGTTATGATTAGAAATGTGTTGAAATATTTTCTCTCCAGAAATTGGGGAAAATAAATATACAGGGAGGCTAATAATTAAGAAGGGTTAATAATGCAGACTTTTTACTGTGGCCGCTTTACTGTTGTATTTACTGTCATTTTATGAGAATATCTGAATAAATAAAACACAACACACCTGCGCAGGTGGCTGAAGAGAGCCTCCATTGTGTCATGGTTGGGTGGAGGTAAAGACCGTACCAGATTCCTCATGTGTGATATCTTACTGTAATAGTCAGGGGTTTCTGCATCAAACCAAAAGAAAAACTTTAGTGGCACAAATTAAAGGGACAGTTCACCCAACAAATGAAAATATACTTACTCGCCCTCAAGTGATTAGAAACCTTTATGAGTTTTTTTTTTTACGTTGAACACAAAAGGAAATATTTTGAAGAAACTGAAAACCTGTAACCATTGACTTCCATAATAGGAAAAACAAATACAGGTCAATGGGTTTTAGCATTCTTCAAAATATCTTCTTTTGTGTTCAACAAAAAAAAAAAAAGAAACTCAAGCAGGTTTGGGACAAGTTAATGATGAATAAATGCTGACAGAATTGTCACTTTTGGCTGAACTATGCCTTTAATGAAAGACTATCAAATATTAATATAAAACCAAAAACCATAGGTATTAGCTGCTGAAGGCGAGTCAGAGAGACTGTTTTGTGGAGGACGAATTACAAATTTGTCAATTTTTTTTTGGTCAGCCAGGGAATAAAAAAAGAACTAAGGCAACATGACTATTCTCCTAATTCTCCACTAGTAAGAAATATAAAAAAATATGACGCAACCTCCCACAGAGCTCGCTGAGGCCCCCTTGTGGGCCGGGACCCCCCTGTTGGGAACCGCTGTTCTAGAGGTTTAAAGTGATCCTGTTATTCAGTACAGTAGAAGAATGGAAACTGAAAGTCCATACAGTCTCCAGTAAATGTTCATTCTGCTTTGTTTGTTTGATTAAATCTTACTGATGGCACAGATGAACTCATTGAAGAGGTTGTAAGGGAAGAGAGGCTCCTGCAGTTCTCTAAAGAAGAGTTTCAGCGCTCCTGTGATCACATGAATATCCCAGTTTCCCTCCTCCAGGTCCAGATCCTCTGGAGAAACACAGAGAAACACAAAATGACGCAGAAGAAAATAAAAAATATTATCAGGCATACTGTGAGAATGTCCTTGCTCTGTTTATTATCACTTGGGAAATATTTAAAAAAGAAAAGGAAAATCAAAGGGGAGCTAATAATTCTGACTTCAACTCTATGTGCAAAAAAAAAAGAGAGACTTGGGCCACATTTGCCTGCAGTGTGAATGTAGCCTTAATGCTCGGTTCAGTGAAGTAAGGAGCATGCATTTTGAATTATGAATTTTACCATGATCTGCTTTAAAGCGCAGTTTCTGGATAACCGCCAGATTTCCACTGACTCTGTAGAGTCCATCGATTTCCAGACCTGTTGAAGGACGACAACAAAATATCATGTACAATAAGTTCATCTATAATATAAGCAGAATTAAAAACTCCATAGACAATACTGGCAGGAGGGAAATGTCTTAATATCTGTCATCTCATCTGTCTCTGGTTTGAAATTACATTTTATAATGAACTACCTGCCTTCTCTAAAAGCGCCATAAAGGACCAATCAAACAAAAGATGACGTTACTGTTTACTGAAAAATAACATGAATTCCACCAACATTTTTGCTTTTAATGATAAAAGAATGTAAGGAAATATGAAAGCGGCTAAACATTTAACATTATTTTTTTAAATAAATTGTACAAATGTTGGTGATGTCCAGTAATAAATTAACACTTTAAATGTAGGAAAAATCTTAAATATAGTGTTCGCACTCATTTACATGACCCCAAATGCGGTATCCCCTTACTTGTTAAATGTTACAAAGATTTATGTGCAAATGCGAAAAGTGCAAATTGTTTTGAAATGTAAGAGATGGAATCATTTATTTATGCAATTCATCAGTGAAGGTGACAAGACAATGATTTACTCAGCTTGTGGCTTTCATATGAATATATAAGAGTAAATATGTCATTCTTATTAGTTAACATGTATAGCTATACATTTACCAGCCACTTTATTAGGTACACCTGTCCAACTGCTCGTTAATGCAAATTTCTAATCAGCCAATCACATGGCAGCAGCTCAATGCGTTTAGGCATGTAGACATGGTCAAGATGATCTGCTGCAGTTCAAACCGAGCATCAGAATGGAGAAGAAAGGTGATTTAAGTGACTTTGAACGTGCCATGGTTGTTGGTGCCAGACAGGCTGGTCTGAGTATTTCAAAAACAGAGAATGGTCTGAAAAAGAGAAAATATCCAGTGAGCGTCAGTTCTGTTGGCGCAAATGCCTTGTTGATGCCAGAGGTCAGAGGAGAATGGCCAGACTGGTTCCAGCTGATGAAAGGCAACAGTAACTCAAATAAGCACTCGTTACAGCCGAGGTGTGCAGAAGAGCATCTCTGAACACACAACACATCCAACCTTGAGGCAGATGGGCTACAGCAGCAGAAGACCACACAGGGTGCCGCTCCTGTCAGCTAAGAACAGAAAACTGAGGCTACAATTCACACAGGCTCACCAAAACTGGACAATAGAAAATTGAAGAAACGTTGCCTGCTCTGATGAGTCTTGATTTCTGCTGCGACATTCGGATGGTCGGGTCAGAATTTGGCATCAATAACATAAAAGCATAGATCTATCCTGCCTTGAATCAGTGGTTCAGGCTGCTGTTGGTGTAATGGTGTGGGGGATATTTTCTTGGCACACTTTGGGCCCATTAAAACCAATTGAGCATCGTGTCAACACCACAGCCTACCTGAGTAGTATTGTTGACGATGTCCATACCTTTATGACCACAGTGTACTCATCTTGTGATGGTTACGTCCAGCAGGATAACGCGCCATGTCATAAAGCGCAAATCATCTCAGACTGGTTTCTTGAACATGACAATCAGTTTACTGTACTGAAATGGCCTCCACAGTCACCAGATCTCAACCCAACAGAGCACCTTTGGGATGTGGTGGAAGGGGAGATTCTCTTCATGGATGTGCAGCGATTAAAATCTGCAGCAACTGTGTGACGCTATCATGTCAATTTGGACTAAAATCTCTGAGGAATATTTACAGTACCTTGTTGAATCTATGCCATGAAGGATTAAGGCAGTTCTGAAGGCAAAAGGGCGTACACCCAAACTAGTAAGGTGTACCTACTAAAGTGGCAAGTGTGGTTATGTGGTTAACTTGATGTGCTAAAAGAACAAAAATTGTTACTAAAATAGAAATGAATAAAACGACACAGAAAAATAGAGAATACAAAGCGACAAAGCACAAACTTACAGATAATAAAAAAATGCAAATACAATATATAGTTTAAAATATTTAGAAAAATAATACAAAAGCTTCAAAATATTACTATATCATGTCCAAATAGTTTAAAACATATCCTTGGTATTAAATTAACTTTATTACTAGTAATCAAACTTCACTTTTAACACAGATTTTGCTGTGTTTTCAAAGTAACGCACCTCTTTTCTCCACCGCTCGAATGCATTTCTCCACAAAGCTGGGCACTCTGGTCTTCTCCTGGCTGCAGAGATTGTGCAGATGACATCCAAATACATTTTCTGAAGAGAAAGAGGCAGATCAGAGTCAGTTTATCTTTAGTGACAGTAACAAAGAGGCTGC